TGTTTGTGCAAAAGCTTCTGTGTGTAAACGTGTCTGTGTGTAAAAGCGTCTGGGTGTAAAAGCGTCTGTGTGTAAAAGTGTCTGTGTGTAAAAGCTTCTGTGTGTAAAAGTGTCTGTGTGTAGAAGCGTCTGTGTGTAAAAGCATCTATGTCTAGAAGCATCTGTGTGTAAACGCTTCTGTGTGTAAAAGCGTCTGTGTGTAAAAGTGTTTGTGTGTAAAAGCCTCTGTATGTAAAAGTCTCTGTGTGTAAAAGCCTCTGTGTATAAAAGCGTCTGCGTGTAAAAGTGTCTGTGTGTAAAAGCGTCGGTGTGTAAAAGTCTCTGTGTGTAAAAGCTTCTGTGTGTAAAGGCTTCTGTGTGCAAAAGCGTCTGTGTGTAAAAGGTTCTGTGTGTGAAAAACTATACGAAGGATACGATGTAAACTGTTGTTTTGTACTTGTAAAATATTGTCTTGATACTACTCTTCTCTTCTGCTTAAAATAGACTTTTATTATATTGTCTTGTAATATAGTGTCCCAACACTAACAACAGAAGACCCTGCTCCTCTGGGGCCATCCGTCGTCTAGTTTTCCTAACCTCTCCCCCTAAAATACATTTTTAGGGGTGGGTGATTTTTACACATAGACGGGTTTACAAGAGGAGTCTTTACACACGGAGGCGTTGACACAGGGAAGCTTTTACACACAGAAGCTTTTACAGTTACACATTTTAAACAGAGTAGTTTTTACACAGAGAAACCTTTACACAAAGAAGTGTTGACACAGAGAAGCTTGCGCACACACACAGAGGCTTTTACACAGAGAAGCCTTTTACACAGAGCAGCTTTTTCACAGAGGAGCTTTTACACAGAGGAACTTATACACAGAGAACCTTGTACACTCAAAGGCTTTTACACAGAGAAGTCTTTTACACGGAGAAACTTTTACACACAGAAGCTTTTACACCAAAAAAAACTTAACACAGAGGAGCTTTTACACACAGAAGCTGGTACGCAAAGAAACTTTCACAAACAGAAACTTTTGCACACAGAGGACATTTTACACAGAAGCTTTTGCACACAGAAGCTTTTGCACAAAAAAACTTTTACACAGAGAAGTTTTTACCCACAGAAGCTTTTACATACAGAAGCTTTTACGCAAAGAAACTTTTACACACAGAAACTCTTACACACAGAAGCTTTTGCAGACAGAAGTTTTTTCACAAAAAAACTTTACACAGAGGAACTTTTACACAAAGAAACTTGTACGCACAGACGTGTTTGCACACAGTAGCTTTTACGCATAGAAGCTTTTGTACAGAGAAGTCTTTACCCATCTTTCATCATGTCTTATTTATTAAGATCATTCACCATCTGTCATCTTCATGTCTTCGTTTTCATGCTCTTTTGGTCAACTCCCTCCGTCGTTTAGTTTTCATTTCGCACGGTGTTCTGTCCGTCCACGCTTCGTCCTCGCTCCCTCTGCGGCGAAGCAAACTAAACGAGAACCGAGGAATAAATAGCGACTAGAAAGATGGGATAGAGTTAACTACATTAGCAGAAATAGCGACTAGAAGAATGTAGACGTAGCTGACACAGCATGCTGTGGTGAATTGTGGCCCCTGATGCCATCAGTGCGCACGATGTTTCAGTAAAGATCTTACGTCGATTTCGTGCAGAGCACAGCTGCTCACACCACAAGATTTTTAAAAAAAGGCGTGTTGTGTGCCGTCTTGCTTTTGGGTTCTCTGGCCCACCTGGTTTTTTCTACTGCCAGCAACGCTACTTTGGTACTGTGCAGTGAAAATTCGATCAGGCTGGGATGGCGAGGGAAGGTTTTCCTCTTTGAATCAATTTGAAACATATTCCCAAGGTTCCCAAATATACTGCCTAGATCTGACTAGGTTGGCTACAGATTAACAGAAGAAATCCGAAGCTTCAAGACTTGCCATCCCAATGGCTGAGAATGTTCGCATGACGTGGGTTCCTCAGCTTAAGAAACACCATGTCCATGGTCAGTTCCTCGCGCTTTCGCGAGGCAACTGAGACTTCGCATCATGGGAAATAAGACCAGCTAGTGGGAATTGGACGTATAAAGTAGCGCAATAATATGTCCAAACATAGCTGCCTACAACAGCTACAACCATGGCTCAAGCAAGAGCATGTTTAAAAGCACATGAGGAATCGAATCACTTTGAATCCTTTGGGATCTCTTGGAATAATTAAGCTGGAATGACTTGCCATTGAATTGACATGTGACAGGCTGCGACAGGCTGAGACAGGCTACGACAGGCGGCGAGAGGCTCACGCGCGCGTTCTTTCTATCAAACCAGTTGCGATGGTTCATCGAGCCTGCCGTGCGATTGTATCCTTCCAGAAACTCGGAAAACAAACAAAATAAATCAAACTGGTGTGCTTCACTTTGGTCTTACAAATCAAAGTGAGTTCAATGATGCTTGATTCATGTATGTGTCTATGTCTATGTACAGGTATGTGTATGCCTGTGTATCTGTATCTGTATAAATATATATACACATGTATATGAAAATGAAAATGAACATGTATATGTATCTGTGTATACTATATACTGTATATACTGTATATACTGTATATATATATATATGTACGTGAATGTGTATGTATATGTACATGTGCATGTGTATGTGTTTGTCTATGTATGATTATGCATGTCTGTATGTCTGCATGTGTGTACGTCCGCACGTAGGTACATGTACGTTATTGTACACATGTTATCACTTCATATTCATTCATTTATTTCATTTCATTTCATTTCGTTTCGTTTCATTTCATATCATTCATTCATTCTCGCCAATCTGCATATATTATCAGATACATATATAAATATATATACATAATTATCCCGGCGGACCAGAAACCGCGCTCACAAAAGGCACGTTTTCAAAAAAAAAATATTTTCGCTACAGCGAAACGCACAGTTTGATAGGCCAAATTTGGCCAAATTTGGGCGCGCAAATTTGGCCAAATTTGCGTTTCGTTTGGGTTTTTGGCAAAAATGTGCAAGACCCTTTTTCATCCTTTGTCAGACCAGGCGTTTCAGCGTCGAGATCGTCTTTTGCTGGAGGCGACTGTGTCCATTGACATATCGCCATTGCCAGCACTTGACATACAAGAGAAGATTTTTGCTTTTTGAACACAACGATCCCCCACCCCACCCCACCCCACCACATCAGCAGCGTAGCAACATGTGACGTAGTAAAAGATCCCAGAGATCTCAGCAGCGTAGCAGTGGATCATGTACGAAGTACAAGGTACGTTAACATCCCCCACCCCCCCCACCCCACCACATCAGCAGCGTAGCAACATGTAACGTAGTAAACGATCCCAGAGATCTCAGCAGCGTAGCAATGGATCATGTACGAAGTACAAGGTACGTTGAAATCCCCCACCTGCCACCCCACCCCATCAGCAGCGTAGCAACATGTAACGTAGTAAACGATCCCAGAGATCTCAGCAGCGTAGCAATGGATCATGTACGAAGTACAAGGTACGTTGAAATCCCCCACCTGCCACCCCACCCCATCAGCAGCGTAGCAACATGTAACGTAGTAAACGATCCCAGAGATCTCAGCAGCGTAGCAGGATCATGTACGAAGTACAAGGTACGTGAACATCCCCCACCCCCCCACCCCACCCCATCAGCAGCGTAGCAACATGTAACGTAGTAAACGATCCCAGAGATCTCAGCAGCGTAGCAATGGATCATGTACGAAGTACAAGGTACGTTATCATCCCCCACCCCCCCACCCCACCCCACCCCAAAATAGCGATATTCAAAAACGTGCGTTTTACGAGCGCGGTTTTCGGTCCGCAGGCATAATTATGTGTATATATATATGTACAATTATGAACATACATACTATTGCATTGCTGTAGTTGATGCCCCGTAGAGCAGCAAGATGAGAGCGGAGAACAAGCTTGCCTGCGATATTTTTTTTTTTAACGTTTGACTGAAACGATGCAGTGAGCATGATCGGTTTGATAGGGTTCACGAGATCGTTGAACACCAAATTTGTCACAACCGTCTGAATGACGCAGCACTGATATGAGACCCACCTTAACTCATCCAAGCGGCGCTTTTCCTCGGTCAAGCGCTCGCAATAATTACATCCCAACGAGCACATGAGAGCAATATCTTTGCTTTGCTGGCCTTAATCCCAAATGTCATTTAAGAATACTTAAGAATACTCAACATATGTTTACATCAACTCGCGAGATAGTTTCAGGACTCCAAAGCAACAATGTTTAATCAACAGTTCTTCACCAATAAAACGAAGAATACGTGCGTTTTATGCCAGTGAGGCACTCTGAGGCACTCACATGCATCATGGCTTTTCGTTGTTCCTCCAGCTGCGCCAGCAAATTGTCCACCTTTTCAGTTTTTGTCGCCTCCTTCCAACGTGGAATGTGAGTGCATCATATGTGACGATCTCAGTGTCTGTATGATGATGACAGGTCAATGTTGCAACAACTTCTATGAATAAGTATCATCCTTGACTCCACGAGTCTCATAATTTGTAAGACCACTGTCAACATCCATTCCAATGACTACCAAAAGTGGGCCTTGATTCTTTCGTGCGCTGGATTTACCTGGCCAATGCTTGCACTTTCAACCGACAGAAAGAGGTTTCATTTATCTTTTGCAAGACGCGAATCTGCCACAAACATGGCTCAGAGTGCAAGTCATATCTGCATTGTAATCTGTGAATTTGTCCTCGCAAGTCCTCCACCTAGTGTTTGAGGAATAAGGCATGGAGATGCTATCTTTAAAGCAAGAAGACTTTTCATGGAATCATTCTGCAGGTATTTGTCTTGCCGCTCACTATTCTATTGTTTGTGCCGTTTAAATACAAAAGAAATGCTCAGACACCAAAATCCAAATCCAAACCTAGTCAGCGTCTCAAACAAGGAAATATCTCACGTGGTCATCAAGCAAAAACCAAAGGCTCTTTCATCTTTTTCACTGTCAGAATAGGGTGGCATGTTACAGGCATGGCCCCACAGCTTGCTGTTCTCTGCTACTATCTGCTACTGAAGATGGTTTCTGAAGCAGGCTTAAGGCCTCTGCATCGCCTGCTTCAATGGTGGGCATAAACTGCCTGCAGCTGCATGCAGAAGCAATCGCAAACTATGGCAGACTCCACGTCGTAGAGTAATGCGGTGATGCAAAGAGAGTAATGTGGTGATGCAAAGACAAAAACGGTCAAGCTTCAACAATATTGCTAGAAACTTTGAATCTATTGCTTAAACGCTTGCTAGCATATAGAGCAAAAGTGCACTGTCTGGAGCTAGGGTGTTACCATCAATGGCGAACCTTCGTCACCATGTGTTTTTCGGCAACATTTTCTATGGCGAAGCGTCCCGGTTGAATTCACCATATCTGAGCACTGGACTGTGATTTCTTCATATCTGGCAGCTTGTAGGATGGGAGAATCCTGAGCTCTGTCAGTGGCATTTCTTTCGTGTCAGGTATTTAATGGGCAGCTTTCTGTCTATCAAAATCTATCTGAACCGAAAAACCAAATCTATGATCTGAATCGGTTGATCTGAATCTATCATATCTATCATATCTATCATATCTATCTACATACACACCGGCTTTATTCTTCTGCTACATTTGCATAAAAGCATTCATCGCTTCCGCAAAACGTTCCGCGATGCTTCCCTGCCGCCAGCTTCAGTGAAACCTTGTCATCACATGCTGTTTCTGGTAGCTTTTACAAACACATCTTTCCTGATTTTCTCACATTTCTCATGCTTTTTCGTTATGTTTTGATTCCTTTTGCTTCTCATACCTCAGTTCAACATATTGTTACTATGCTGGAAGCTTCCCCAAAGGAAGGGTTCCGCAAAGCATCCGCAGCTTTCTGTCACTGTACTGCCATGATACTTGTTAGAATGAGTTCAACTTTACACATGGGAAAAAAGACACCGACGTGTATAGTGCATGTGCTTGCAATAACAAAGTCTCTAACACATATGAACAAATCACAATATCTTAGAAGGGGAGTGACGGAGTGACCGGCATCTTTTCTTACTGCGCAACGCAGCCAGTGTTCAATGTAGCAACAGCATGCAACAGTATCGAGTGCCACAAAAACATGTATGCAGAAAACTCTCATCTGAACAGCAAGCAAAACGCAAATTGAACCCCTTCATCCTTATTCATCCTTGTTCATCCACTTCATCCTTATTCATCTTATCTTTGGATTTTCCCTGGCTGTTTGAACTCTGCATCTGGCGCGCTTCTCAGTGTCATACGGATAGACCCTTTCTTCTCTTCGAAGTTGTTTGCCATGGGAAACCTTCAGCAGCGACAGGAAGCTTCTGTGGCCAAGCGAGTGGAAACCTCCGGAAGATGTGTAAGTGCTATGGCTTCTAAATGAATCTTATACACATTGATACGACATGGATGTAAATGACATGGATGTAAAGATGCACGCCAAAACTCATGGCATATTCTTGCCGAAAAGATCCTAGAAAAGGAAGTTTCTTTTCATGTTTCCTTCAAGCCTTACCATAGCATTTCGATACAAGACATCTTCGGCATCTTTTGGCTGCCACACCATTCGAACAATGATCTGTTCTTTGTGAAGTTCGAGCTTCATGAAGCCATACCTGATGAGAATCGCGCCGAGACTGTATAGGAGCTAGACTGAAGCCAATTGAAGACTATTTGCATTCCTATCAAAACCTGGCAAGAAGCACTTTCCGTAAGGTCACTCTATGCGCAGATTCAGCTTTTCCAAGTGCGGCTACAACTTCTACAAACTCCGAGTTGTCATTGGAAAAAACATTTTGAGCCGCCTTTCCGAACCTTTCCTTATCTGATAAAACGACTTAGCAAACATCTTGATCTGCGACACATGGGGCACTCATCATCCCATCCGTGCTCGTTGGGCAAACCCTCGGACCTGGCTGTGACTCATGGAATGACTTCTCAAACTCAAAGATACTCAAAGTAGGCAATGAAACACAAGCATACACAAGCCGCAATAAGCCACGTACTTAGCAAATCATTTTGTTGCATCTAGTTGAGTCAGCTACAGTATTTGAAGATGACCGTGGATATCGGGATCCAAGGCGACTTGTGGTTGTGCTGTGAACTCAAGACTTCCTCTCCGTGGATCTCTCTTGCTCTGAGCGTCCGAGCGTAATGCCGCCACCGCCACCAGAAACGATCACGGCAGTCCCACCAAGTGGGTTTCTGCCCTTGGAGATCGAGCTCATGGATAGAGCAGTGAATGCAGCTTGATGTAATTTGCCAATGTTGGAGACCGGCCATGTTTTAGCATTGAAACAATTGAAACATGCAAAGATGAAACGTGATAGAAAGTGTGGGGAGATTCCGTTAAACCTGGGTCAAACCTGTAGAGAACACACATGAAATAAGCTGCAGCTGATTCCGGCCCCAACGCTGGTTTTGGCCGAGTCGCCCATTGTGGCCAACTGGGCGACAGTGCGTGGCAATATGTGGTGAGAAAATGTGAGAAACAATTTGAACATACACATATATTTTCTAACATCATCTAACTCATGAAGTCAAACTTAGTCAAACCCGAATCATCTGAGATAGCGAAAGGGCAGCGACCCCAGGCCATCTGAGTCACGCACAAGTCCTGATGATGCGTGTGCCCCGTGATCATCATGTCAATACCTCAATCCAAACTACAGGACTTCATTCGGATTGGGCAGGCAATGGCAGGCAACATACTCAAGTGTCTGCATATGTCTGCATATGTCTGCATATTCCAATGATTTCCAACGTATCGTCTTAGCAGAACATTCCAATTCGCAACAATGCATCATGGTCTGGCTGTCCATGTCTCTTAGCATCCAAACGATTGCCTGCTCGGTCTCCAATGGTAACCAATGACGAATGAATGTTTATTCCAATGTCTAAGAGTCTAAATCAAATCGCATAACCACATACGTGCCACAAGTGCATATTTGTCTGTGCCATGTCATTGTCGACCAGGCTCGATGGGGTTGTCAGGTCTTTCAAGTCAATAAAAGGGCTCCTGTCCAAGGCTGTCACCGTATTTTTTGCTGATTGGTTGCCAGAAGTCCATGCCCCACCTGAGGCGAAACGCAATGTTGCGCCACAAAAAAAATGCTGCGCGCCACAGACCCACAGACTCAGGTGCGGGCAATGGTGGAAAATGGGTGACAACGATCTGCCAGTCCTTCAACACACACTGAAACTTTAGCAACAGCAACATGGAAAGTTCCGAAGCCCTGGCTGCATCAGGTTGCTCGATGTCTTGGGTTTCCGTCTCTTGGATCCACATGTCAAGCCGAAAGGAACTAAGCCGAGGGGAACTAAGCCAAGGGCGGATGCAAGATTTGATGCTTCAAGTTGCTCCTCAACAACTTCTGCGCAACACAACTGATCAGTCAATAATGATCCATGATGCATCTTCTATCGTGATATATCGTGATCTATCATACACATTCATACATTTTGTTTCATGGGGGTGAAGTCGCCACCTTTACTAACAGCGTGATCAAAAGACGTTCTGACAGCTTCTCACATCATCCACACATCGAGGCTCTGGCGGCCAGCCAGCTGCACTGCCTCTTCCAAATGGAGATGAACCACCATTTGCCTCACACATCTGGAACCGCATTCTTCCAAATTCCTCCAAAACGTTTAAAAAGTAAGAGTGCCTATGATATAGGTTTGACAATGAAACCATGGCTGCAGTATCTCCGAAAGACCCCTACATCTTGAGCTTTGAAGTGACTACGCTTGAAGAATCCGCAGTCTACCAACTCTGCCTCTACATGACCCCAGAAACGGACTAGAATCATTTATTCCACGTTTGCAAAAAATAAGGTTTCCTCTGGACATCTATGCCGAGGTTCACTCACCAGGGTTTGCAGGACCAGTCCTGACTAGTTTCAACAACAGGTCCTTTACACTGTACACAGTGAGACATCTTGTTGAGCACATTCTTCACTTCTTTTTTTGGGCTCATTCCGAATTAGCAAAGTGCCCATTTCTTTTTGCTTGTGTGCTCGTGCGTCCTTCACTTCACCAAAATCCCGAACATCACCACCAACAAAGCGCACACACTGAATCAGGTGATTCTCCAGTTCATCTGCGTGGCTCGCTGGGCTGCTGACACGTTGCAACCCTGGTACTTGTGATTGTGGCTGGTGCCTGGTCTGACGTCATGCTGAATCATCCAATGACATGCCATGTACCTGAAGTATCTGAACTGAGGAACTGAGTCTGCTACCGCAAATGTTGTGCATTGGATCCTGCAAACATGTTCTTGCACAGCCAATCCGTGACCTGTTCTGAGCAAAGCACCGCCTCTTGCCTGCATTTGCCTGCCCTCATTATTTTTGCATGTCTTACTGACAAAATGGCGAACCTAGAACCTCGTCGAAAGGAGAATTGACGAAAAGGAAAATTATATAAAAGGTGACGGGGAAACATAGCAACCTTTCTTCTGAAGTCCGGCAGCATTGAGACTACAATTCATGAGGTCCCTTCCGTGCATGATGTATGTCCTTTGAATTCTTGACAATGAAAATAGCATAAATAGCACATGGTATAGTTTCGGCAGGAGTTCAATGGATTGCTGCCGCCTGCATTGGCACACGTCTTGCTAAATATGACTGAGCGCATAACCCTCGACAAAGAGCCACAACGTGCGGTCCTTCTCGGGGTCAAATGCATCAAACATGTTGGTATCCTTGGGCCACAATGGGGGCGACACATACAGTGCTTCGAAAACGCCTGGGCAAGGAGCCTGAGGAATGGACACTTTGAAACTCGAGTTCAGCTCTGTTTTTGCTGAGTTCTGTTTTTTCTTCGACATGCCATGTTGCCCACATACGCATGTTCTCATGAGTCTTAAGGAATCTGTGGAGCCAAGAATCCACGAAGAAATAATCAACCATAAAGCCCTGGCGGACTGCAACAAAAGTGCAACATCACTCAGTAATTTCCTTTGGCTTTGCTGTACCAGAACCACACTCGACCACACTGGATGTAGCGGTCGCCAATCAGTGCAATGTCTCTTAGCAGTACAGGACTGATGAATTGAAGCAAACTGGTGAAATCTTAAATATGTCAGAGGGAAAATAGTAGGGAAGATTCTGGAAGATGCTGACACCGGCTGTCATCTTCAGTTGAGACAATAGCACCGATGCACCTTTTCATGGTGATCTGGGTCGGTTTGCTCATAGATGGCTCTGGTCCTGAGCTCAAATTCCAAAGGAATACTCTGTGCTCTGTATCCAGATTGCCAAGCGGGAACTGACAAAGGATGTTGCAGCTTCCTTTCTCGCAATCAAGCAGCTTGTAGTACAACGCAGGCTGAAACCATCTCCACTTGCTTCCTGCTGGGTTTTGTGGCAGCCAAGTTTCTCTAAGCACAGACTTCACACAAAGACTGTGGAAAGTGGAATTTGGTGTGAACATGTGCGAAATGCTGTGAGATTTATCATAATTTATCACATTTTATCTATATCAGTCTACACGTCGAGATGCAGTCTTGAAATCGACGTGTAGCAAAGGACTCTCACCTGGTGCGCCCCAGGTGTAGCCAATCGTCTGGTCCCACGCAGCCAAGTAGTGCCAGCCTGACAACAAGGGAGGTATACCAGGTATACAGGCACTATACTATATCACTAGATGCACCCACTATCCAGGACTGTGCTGGCCTTGCTCTCTTTAAGTCTGAAATGTCACAAATACTCGAGGACTTGCTGTTTGGAGGGCTTCCCCTCTATTGGTTGCTTGGTGAGGGTTTCCAACAATCATGCCAGCGTGACCACCCCAGTCGTGGTTTCCTAGCACGCTAAGCCACCTTGCAGATTTCCGAGTTCCGCTTTGTGGAGTGCGGGATGGTTGGAACACAGAAAAAAACAACTTGGGAATGGATGTGCCGTTTGATGGGGAACTAGATCAATTAATAATTATATTATAAAAATACACAAGTCTGGAGATCAAGCGTGATCTAACCTGCGATTGTCTCGGATACATCTGGAATAACTCCCAATCTCGTCTTGCATGGCCCTTCCAATTAGAACCTCTGATCACTTGGATATGCCACTGCCGAGGTCCAGACTGCACAGTGTCCAACGGACCATGATACCTCTGCTGGAACTCGAAGCATCGAACATCAATTTGTTAATCTACTGTGGTAATCTTAACAAATGAATACGATTAAATAATCCGTTTGGAAAGCCTGAAGGTCGCATTTCCGGACTTACTTTGCGGCTTGTCACCTATTTTAATTTCTTTTGTCGGCTTAGATATCACACTTCTGGCAACAAGTAGTTATTTTTTTCCACTGTGAGAAAAACGCGATACGCTTCTGTGGTGATTTGCTTCAAGAGGCTAAGCAAAAGCCTTCCTTCCATTTCTGTTTTGTCTTTGGCCAAACAGTTCCTCTCCCTTTCAGAACTTCTGAGGCATCCACATGTTCTCGTAGATGTGCGTCCACCTCACACAAACGATGTAGAGATTAGCTTTGCCCCAGAGTCTTGCAGGCACTAAACAATAGGTGTAGATAGGTACATGATACTACTTGGTTTACTTGATATCAAGCCTGACACAAACATCCACCCGCAACAATTTCAGGTCTGCAGTCTGGGGCTCCTGGCTGTGGCCCCCCCTCGAACTTGTCGAAATTTCCGCCTCAGACTGAAACCAAAAACGTCTCTGCCTGTGTGTGTTCTGCATTTAAGTCATTTAAGTGTCTCGTAATATATCATTTCAAGCCCTCGCTCTAAACTTGCTAAACAAAAGAAACTCTGTGTATATATATATATACACAGATATATGGGTATACTCCATTCAAGAGTTCATTACAGTGTTTTAAAACGATGAGGCTTTAGGAATCATGAGTTCTTTGCAGTGTCTCGTGGAGGTGCACGTTTCATAGGAGTTGCGCATGTTTCACAAGCCACCCAATAACGTTCTTGTTCAACTGCGTCCCAACTTGGAACTCTTAAACCACAAGAAAAGACGAACTCTAAAACGAAGTATATATATATATATTACTATAATTATATATATAATATATCGTCTGGAATCATCATCATGGCTCCCAAAATAAGGATGTCTTGGTTCCCTGCACGTCGCTGAGATGCCTCCCCAGTAGAAGTTGTCGCCAACCTCACATTACGCATAGAATTGCACGAGGGACTTTTGTCAGGCATCCTGCCTTCAAACATATTCAGTACAAGGATGTTCCAACTTTCCCAATCCCCCTACCTTCCAGCAATTCTCGTGGATGCACTGCACACCACCCAAGCTATCCTTTTAATTACCTGGTCCTTTTTCCTCACGCCCATTTGGCTTCCAAACATTCAGAATGTAGTCAACTCGGTCAACTGCCTTGGAATTGTGGCAAAGATGGGCGGCAACATGATTTTTGGGTCACCTGGGTCTGGATTTCCCTCTGTCCCTGTTCAAGCTTCTTGTCTGACGAGGCAAACTTTTCAATTGCTACCCGAACTTTCAGACTGGAAAAGGAGACGCTGATTGAACTGTTCAAAGCAAAACACCCCACCAACCTGGGACCTTGCGTGTATAGTATACGGGGCATCCCTGCTGATCTGGTTTCTGACTCGAAATCAGCTCGCTCTTTTGCTTCTGCAACATTGACCACGTTTCCTGTGATACAGAGAGCTCTGCATCTTGCAATGGGCTGCTGCAGGACACTAACGACGTCCAAGCTGACCCGGCGACCCGGATCGCTTCTCACTTGTTTCAGACGGTCTGATACAAAAGGGCAACCAGGACGGCCAGGAAGGACAAACCAGGAGCTGAACTCCTCAGTGGAACACGCATTCACGGCCCTGCAGGGTTCTACTCTGCTTGGATTTGAATCACAGAGCACCATGTGAGAGTACAAAGGAAGGCATGTAGTCCACAGCATTTCTGTACCCTTAGAAGACTTGATGTGAAAAGAAAGACATTGATCTAAGCAGGATGATGCAAGATAACGCAAGATGTCGAAGCATTGCACACAGCACCCTAACATGTTCATCTTTTGCCTGGAGACTCAAGAAACTTTTTAATCAACGACACTTTCACAATTGGTACACACATATTCGGAGACCATGCTGGCATACCATAAACTGGTTACCACATGTTACCACCAAAGTCTTTTTGAATAGATTCTTTGGGCACATGCCATTCCCTGATCGTGAGCAAACCCAAGCAGTCACATAATCTTCAGAGTCCGGAGTCTGCAGGAATCCAGCCAAGGATCTTCTTGCCAAGCTCCTGCACAAAACAGGAATGCATTGATCAAGGATGATCAAGGTCAATCAATCACCCTTTGCTGTACACCATAAGAAAATGCTGGGTCTTGAGCAGCTCAGTGGCTCGATCTCTTGGCAACTTGGCGCACCTCGCTGTCCATATCACAGGCTGTACCGTACGTGTCTGCGCCGGCAATATAGTTGTACCTCGTGCCAAAACAGCGCTGACAGCCCTTGGTTCTAAAGGTCAAAAGGAACAAACAAGCTGAGTCTCTATCATTCCCTACTGTTGCCATCTCTATGTATATCCCCATTAAAGAAAACATAAGAAAACTAATAGAACACTTGTATATACAACAAAACACCTTGGATGATCAAAGCCTGAACAACCATGGCGCACAAACTTGCTGTGCCGATCTGAGGTCCAAGCTCAAGGTCTTCTTTGCTGTCCACGGTGGGAGATTTTGACCAGTCCTTATACCGTTCTTGTTCACATGGCAAGGGATCGATTTTCATCGTCGAGTCAACACGCCAAAATTTGCTTCGCCTCTTCAAATCTACAGCGTGTGCCAGCACAGTATTTACATTGCCAGTCAGGTCGCTTCATGGCACATTCAGACTCAAGAATGTCTATCCAAGCTCAGCAACAACGTAAATGATTCATGACCATTCACCTCCGGCTCTGGCCAAGGAACACAACCATTCTTGCAGTCTTCTGAGACCTCAACGCCAATGTTGACAGCGCTGGCTTCGAACTGAAAAATTGGAAGCTGGAGTCCAAACTTGGAAAAAGGATCCCCCAAACGACCAAGACCAGGATGTGCAACCGATTCCGGCAAAAAACACAGGGATGTCAATCATGTGAGGTAAGTCTCTACAGTCTTGGAATATGCTCGACCTGAAAGTGCTGCGTATTCTGCAGCCAAGCCACACAATCACCATCGTTGTAGCAAATGGGGAATTTTGCTGGACAAACCATCGCCTGGCTTTGACTTTTCTGGCACACAAACGGTGCAATGCTTAAAGGATAGCATTGCGATTTTCCGTGAAATGTTTTCATTGCTTTAGATTTAGACCTCTTTCTTGGTTTTACATGCAAATGCATCATCTGTATTGATCTGTGTAGATGTACATATACATACATACACATACAATGTATGCACGCCTCACTGCATGTGTGTGCATGTTCACGTCTTGACGGCGTCAAGATCTATGTTAGAGTTCACTCCGAATCTTTGAAGCAAACATGGGATTGAAGTGGATCTTCAAAGAAGGCACGAACCTGCTTGAAATGCTGAACCATGCTGAACTGCTGAGTTTTGGCCTGGTCTGCCAATTTTAGACAAACCCCTGCCACAAAGCTCTTCCAGTTCTGGTGCCTTCTTCCACTCCACTGTAGCCTGTGTAGTTGCTGCAGTGGTGTTTGCAAATCAACAACAATCAATCCATGACCAGAATCCATCCTCAGTAAAATTCAAAATACCTCAAAAATCCTCAAAATACCTTTGCAAATGTCGAGTTCATGGCCACTACAGCCACTACAGCCACTGAACTCCGATTTGGATCGATTTGGCATGGCCTGGATCGACTTCTTCCAGGGTGGTTGGTGTGCTTTTTCGGACATAATGCCGTCGAGCATGATGTGATTTTCCTGGCAATGTACGACGTGCAAAGGAACAAAGGAATCAAAAGGATACAAACTGGACATTCAAAAACCAACATGCATAACATGCAGCTCGTAGCTCGCTGACTTTTTGAGCTACCTCAGAGGTAGCCACAACTGCCACAGCTTCTGACATTAACATTTTTTTGGAATGGGGCCTGCAGCACTTTCTTCCCAAATCCCTTGTCTGCAAAGACCTGCAGGGAGGTGGTCAGTACCTTCTACCCGTTCGACATTTGAATTTGGGAATGAATGGACAGCAGGATATCCTGGATTTCAAACACTCCTTGCTCAAACTTTGAATCACACTTTCCCAAGAACAACACTTGGCTGATGAGCTGCGCTTGTCATTTTCTGTACACACCTGGTACGGCAAGGATTCTAGTCATCCTTTTGGATTCACATCCCAGTCATCCCAGGATTATATGAGCCACTTTTGATCCACTTTTGCACCCCAGGCCACATTCCACTCCCCTTGCTGGGAACCTTCAATCCCTGAGAATTTTTCGCGTCCTTCACCTTCTGAAGCATCGATTTGTAGTGCAGTTGTTTATAGCTCATACCTCCTTGGCCATTTTCGGGATTTTGAGCACATCATTGTCACCGGACGCAGCAGTAGATCTTTCTTCCATTGGTCATCATCTACACTAGGCCTTGTCTTATCATATTCTATTCAGTGATCGGATAACGAGTGGTTCACGCCTGCCACATGGTGTGCACGCACCATGACTGCAAGACTTCTGAATTCTATCTGAGATTCGGATGGCTACCCACGATTCGTTGACCTTCACGCAAACAAAGGCATCTTTGTCAGCATCCACAGGAACAAAGCTTCGCTTCGCCACCTGCACCATAGAACGAGGAATGGGGACCAGCAGGGGACCAGTGGGGGACCAACTGGTTGTGGTTCGCTGTGTGGCGGCAGCTCCAGAGACAAATAAGATACAACACCTTCAGACGTGAGAGAACTGCAAAAGACTGCCCTTCAAATTCAGTTCGTTCAATCTTGGCCAAGCAAATACTGTATATTGTAGTCTATCTATCTATCTATCTACCTACCTATCCATCTATCTATCTATCTATCTATCTATCTAAATTATAGTAAATTATGACATAAACGAGCTATCCAATAGAAATATATAGAAATCAAGAATTAAAGACTCATGAGGCCATTTCTCCGTCACACTTGAGTGCATTCAAGCAGCAAATTCTGTCGCATTGTCCATAATCCTGCCAAGCGTTGCTATATGAACATTCCCTATCATTCCCTGCATCAACTTGATAAAATGATGGAGCACGATAGAGTATGTTTGCAATTTCCAACCATAGATTCCCTATATGATTGCCTCCAGCTCAACTGCAAAGTTATTGAGTAAACATGATGCCCAACATCTTCCGATGATGGAACAGAATCACTACGTTACGTGATCAGGCATGCATGCAGGGCGCAAACATCACATCTGTGTTTCAACGTCGTCACGTCGTCTTGCCTTGTCATCTCATTTGGTTTGTCTTTGTGGATCTTCAACCTCACGTTGTGCCCTTTCGTCTCATCCGCCTTGCAGCTCTGTGTCAACATTGTGACCGTCACTCTCAGGTCTCAGGAGAACCGACCGTTTCTTCCATGGCTTATTGCTATACTGGGCTATACTTGCCTTGGCATCTGGCTTTGGCATGCTTTGGCGAGGCATATCTGAATATATCTGAAGATGAGTTTGTTCTTTCCACTTCAGCCACATGATGCACAGCTTTCAAATTTGCCATCCAATCACAAGGCAAGCTGGTGCCTTGCAGCTAGTTCCGTTGTCTTGGCACAAGTCAGGGCACTTGCCGACTTTGAATTTTGCACACTCCTAAGCTTTCAAAAACGTCGAAAAAACCGGGACGGCTTCCATATCATATACTTCCGCATCGCTCTGAAACAAGCAGTTTCAGAAACATCTTTGCTGGCAAAGTAGCGGCATCGACCACCTTCATCTCTACTTGAAAGTCGTCGCTTCCAGATTCTGAACAGGGTCAGCTTCAAGAGTGTTCTGTGTTCGATGATTGATGTGAGTGATAATACTGCCTCCTGGCTTCACGCATCTGCATGGCTTCTTGGACATGTTTACAGGAACACATCGATTTTCAACAGCATTTTCCCAACAGCATCTTACCATGCTGTATGCTGCTGTATGTTGCATGTTTCCTGCGGCAACATCACATGCCAGTTCCAATTGCGAAAGATTTCAAGTCTCCAACCTTGTGTAACCACTCCTCTGTAGCTGACTGACTTATTCCTGCAGGTTGTGTCAGTTGGACGTGTCACTGGAGAAGCACAGTCTACCGCAGTGGCCCAGGACACACCCCAAATCCAAAGGGACGCAAAACGCTCATGTTGGCTTTTGTGGACTCCAACGTATAGTAGTGTAAATGAGTGTAAATCACTTGGATGTCGGACACTGCCCCGAAACCGCCCATGGTGCTCCACATCTTCTGTTCAAGCTCAAGCTTGCCATCTTCCGTCTTCACAATGCTGAAATCACCCTGAGCGTCGAGGCTTTGGCTCCCCATATGAGTTGAATGAACATGCGTTTGGACTACTACAGGAATAGATTGTCAATGCTGCAAATCCACACCGCACCCAAACTATCCACAGAAATAATCAATAAAAAAGACAGTGTGCAAGTACGTTGTCCAAAAAAATTGTCTGCTTATTGTAACTCTACTTGCAGGAAAACAATTACAAAATGAACACCAGGATGTGTCGAGAGGCAGTCAAAAAGGTCCAATCCCCGATCACTGCAGAGTCATTGTTTCCTTCCACTCGCTTCAAGACCTTGGCAGTCGGACGGTGAACGTTCGACAGTGCCTGACGGCCTGATGGCTAAGAATAGCACAACTGTTGCGTTCGAAGTCTTTAAGCGGAAAATGCGCATGCCTTCCTCAAACTTTGCCTGTCGCACCGCAGTGAAATTACAAGTCTGATCAAGTGAACTCATGAGGTTTGTTCCAATACGTGCCTGACCCTCGATGTGTTCACCACCTGGCTCTTCGCAGTTGATGGTGTTTGACAAGCGAATGTCCTGCGCATGCCGGTCTAGGCAGCAAAATTTCAACGATGTTTTCGAGATTTGAAGAATATGTATGTATGCCTGCCTGGCTGTCTGTCGATCTGTTTGTCCGTCTGTATTTAATTACAGATCTGTGTATGTACGTAATTACATAGGTACAGTACGTCAGTTTTGTTGGTGCGTAGGTACGTCAGCAGGGAGGCAAGTGAGCAAGTAGGTCGGGAAGCAAGTCCAGGGACGAAAATGTAGAGGTGGCTGAATCTGATACGTTCTTGAATCGGAATTTGTTCAGTAGCAGGGAGGTGGGTGGGTGGGTCCGGGTTAGTCGGTCGGTGTAACACACATAGTTACACATAGGTTCTCATGGTAATGTATGTATGTATGTATGCATGCATGCATGCATGCATGCATGTAGGTAGGTATGTATGTAATGTATTGTAATGTAATGTAGTGTAATGTCATGTAATGCAAATGTAATAAAATGTAATGCAATGTAAACGTAATAATAATGTAATGTATCGTGATGTAATGTAATAACATGTATTGCAATGTAATGCAAATGTAAATGTAATAAAATGTAATGTAAATGTAACAAAATGCGATGTAATGTAATGTAAATGTAGTGCAATGTAATGTAATGTAGTGTAATGTAATGTAATGTATATAGATTCAATTATATCCACTACATGTCATCAAGAGTACATACATGCATAGTTGCATACGCACACATAATATATCTATATAATAGACATGCACAAACAATTAAATATATGCACATAGTATTGAAGCAAAATATGTTATGAACTCGATCAGAACAACGCAATATATGTATATGTATCCGTATGTGTATATATATATATTATATATATCAACATATAGTTGTTCATGTTTGTAAATTGACACCTATGATAGTGCTACATAATCGAGTGAGCGATGTAGCCATGCAATCCATGTTTTGATTTTTGCTGCTTGTTTGAATACCTTCCGAAATTCAACTCACTTCCCACGACCAAAACTTGACCTTGACAAAAATAGAAAACGGATTCATTCATGGACCTGCACCTTTTGAATTTCTTGTGATGGGCTCCAACACAACATGTCATCAATCCACATCAATGCTTGACCCAAAGCGCTCTGACCCGCACCTTTTCATCCAGCTTTGGACACTCCTGTCTGCTGTTTTGGCAAAAACTGACATCAAACGGTTCCGCTGCAACGCCGATAGTTTGTTGCCCCTTTTTGCGCGTATCGAATTTCCATGAAGTAAATGCAAGAATTAAAGCAGAATCGTTTCCTTCTCAGTCTCGTTGAAGGAAACTTCAACCTTGGCAAAGCGTTTGAAAATATTTGCAAATGACAAAAACTTCACACGGATAGACTCTCGGCTGCCACCAAACGATACCAAGTACACAACATATATTGGCTTACAATTCAAACGGGTCGAGAGGGAGCGATCATGAAGCAGAGGGAGCATGTCAGGGAAGGAAGTTTCTGAAGCGCTTCGCCGCCGCAGCAGCTTGCTGAATTCTTCGCATTTCGTGAGAATTGCTACTTTGCTTGGTCAGTATTTTGTGAAGGTTTCAAAGTGCAAACACCGCTGCAGACAGGGGCATTTCAAGGAAGCGATATGTAAAAAAGGCAAATAATAAATAGATGCATTTTGACAGGAAAGCAAAACATTATTGCAAAATACATAATTTTTCCCTGTTCGAAACTCAAATTTGCTGGCACTACACCTTTTTACAAGAAAAATTGAACAAACACTGTAAATGATGTGTGCGTGTGGCACCCTCTTCATGCAACAAATTTGAAGTACAATGCTTTTGAACGCAATTGTTCAAGTCCACACTGCGAAGAGCTCGCTTTTTGGCGTTCTGGGAAGGCGCAAAAACACAGCAAACAGGTGCAAATAGAATCATATTGTACCAAAATTGAATAGGTCGTACATGTAATGTCAAACCTTTTTTGTGCTGGGCTTACGTCGTACGTTTGGGTATCGCTCAAAAGTATCATTACTTCCCACCCAACATGATGCCTCAGAGTGTTTCTCCACAAAGCATCGATAAACTTCTGGCGCTGCCACGAAGTGTCTTATTTTTCCACCTCTTTCTGCAGCAAAATGGCTCCCAAATACATCTGGATCAGGTCACCGTCAATCTTGACCAAGCTTGCCCAATCATCCTACGCCAGTTTGCAGGATGTGCCATCACAGCATGATATATCTTTCATATTCTTTCACATTCTTTCATTAGCCAAAGAACCAAAGGCCTTGAAACTCAGATGACTCATAAAGTGTGACTGTCGCAGCTCCTCGGGATCGGTTTTGTCGCTTTGCACTCGGACCACGTCCTCGATCCTTTTCTGAATGGCGTCGACAGGTTCAAACGTAACCTTCCTTAGACGTAGGCAGTGCATGGTACAAACACCACCAAAGGACAATGATCAGCATGACTTCATTCTATATCAAAAATTATCATTCGCAGGAAGAGGGGAAGCATCACCGAAAGTCTTGCCCACCCACCCAAAGCATTCAAATCCAGGCGGGAGATACAGGGGCCAAAGTGAGCAATAACTTTGTTGGTGGGAGTGTGATTGTATGCTAGTATTACGCACTGCAAAGGGAAAAAACATCACCCAAAGAGCGCTTGCCTTCTAACATTGACAGTCTTGGCACCTAGACGTCCCACCCAAAGCATTGAACTCTGGGCGGGAGATACAGGGGCCAAAGTGAGCCACAGCAGCAGAAAAATGATGTGTCAAACCTTACCAAACAAACCTTTTTCTCATGCAGTCGTGAACCAGCCATTGAAAAGACTCGGTGATCCTGGTCGATCATCCAGCCTTATTCCAGTAGTGAACAATAACTTTGTTGGTGGGAGTGTGATTGTATGCCAGTACTACGCACTGCAAAGGGAAAAAACATCACCCAAAGAGCGCTTGCCTTCTAACATTAAAAGTCTTGGCGCCTAGACGTCCCACCCAAAGCATTGAACTCTGGGCGGGAGATACAGGAGCCAAAGTGAGCCACAGCAGAAGAAAAATGATGTGTCAAACCTCACCAAACAAACCTTTTTCTCATGCAGTCGTGAACCAGCCATTGAAAAGACTTGGTGATCCTGCTCAATCCTCCAGCCTCATTCCAGTAGTGAACAATAACTTTGTTGGTGGGAGTGTGATTGTATGCCAGTATTACGCACTGCAAAGGGAAAAAACATCACCCAAAGAGCGCTTGCCTTCTAACATTGAAAGTCTTGGCACCTAGACGTCCCACCCAAAGCATTGAACTCTAGGCGGGAGATACAGGGGCCAAAGTGAGCCACAGCAGCAGAAAAATGATGTGTCAAACCTCACCAAACAAACCTTTTTCTCATGCAGTCGTGAACCAGCCATTGAAAAGACTCGGTGATCCTGGTCGATCATCCAGCCTTATTCCAGTAGTGAACAATAACTTTGTTGGTGGGAGTGTGATTGTATGCCAGTATTACGCACTGCAAAGGGAAAAAACATCACCCAAAGAGCGCTTGCCTTCTAACATTGAAAGTCTTGGCACCTAGACGTCCCACCCAAAGCTTTGAACTCTGGGAGGGAGATACAGGGGCCAAAGTGAGCCACGGCAGAAGATAGCAGATGTCCTTTTTCTCATGAAGTCGTGAACCAGCCATTGAAAAGACTCGGTGATCCTGGTCGATCATCCAGCCTTATTCCAGTAGTGAACAATAACTTTGTTGGTGGGAGTGTGATTGTGTGCCAGTATTACGCACTGCAAAGGGAAAACATCACCCAAAGAGCGCTTGCCTTCTAACATTGAAAGTCTTGGCACCTAGACGTCCCACCCAAAGCATTGAACTCTGGGCGGAAGATACAGGGGCCAAAGTGAGCCACAGCAGCAGAAAAAATGATGTGTCAAACCTCACCAAACAAACCTTTTTCTCATGCAGTCGTGAACCAGCCATTGAAAAGACTCGGTGATCCTGCTCAATCGTCCAGCCTTCTTCCAGTAGCGAACAATAACTTTGTTGGTGGGAGTCAGTATTACGCACTGCAAAGGGAAAAAACATCACCCAAAGAGCGCTTGCCTTCTGACATTGAAAGTCTTGGCACCTAGACGTCCCACCCAAAGCATTGAACTCTGGGCGGGAGATACAGGGGCCAAAGTGAGCCACAGCAGCAGAAAAATGATGTGTCAAACCTCACCAAACAAACCTTTTTCTCATGCAGTCGTGAACCAGCCATTGAAAAGACTTGGTGATCCTGCTCAATCGTCCAGCCTCATTCCAGTAGTCAACAATAACTTTGTTGGTGGGAGTGTGATTGTATGCCAGTATTACGCACTGCAAAGGGAAAAACATCACCCAAAGAGCGCTTGCCTTCTAACATTGAAAGTCTTGGCACCTAGACGTCCCACCCAAAGCATTGAACTCTGGGCGGGAGATACAGGGGCCAAAGTGAGCCACAGCAGCAGAAAAATGATGTGTCAAACCTCACCAAACAAACCTTTTTCTCATGCAGTCGTGAACCAGCCATTGAAAAGACTTGGTGATCCTGCTCAATCGTCCAGCCTCATTCCAGTAGTGAACAATCACTTTGTTGGTGGGAGTGTGATTGTATGCCAGTATTACGCACTGCAAAGGGAAAAAACATCACCCAAAGAGCGCTTGCCTTCTAACATGGAAAGTCTTGGCACCTAGACGTCCCACCCAAAGCATTGAGCTCTGGTCGGGAGATACAGGGGCCAAGAGAAGTGGGATCGTTTTATTAGCAAACTCATGGCATAGCGATGGCCAAGAAGGCTCCGAATCAGCTGCTAGTGTTGGAGCGACGCCTGGAACATGATTCTCCAGGAATATCTGTCCCCAAATCCACCCAGCTCATCAGAATTTCATCCGAGCCACCAGTTTTTCATGGCCTTCCTGTGCCAGTAGCAATCCTTTGGGGGCTCTACCTTAGATCAGCCGAAACACTTTCTGCACAAATGGCCGGCACCTTTCTTGACACCAACATTTCCTCACAACTACAGTATATACATGCAACATATATAATCCCACTGCATGGCAAAGCATCATAAACCAGCACGAATTCCAGGTAAGCGTCGCCTTCTGGTGCAGGCTTGCCCTTGGTGCTTGGTCTCTGACATGTCTCACAAATTTGCTGTGTATTTTCTCTTGGGCTTGCGGCCGCCCCAAGAAACACAAACATCTGTCAGGTACGCTGCTGTATGATCTGTATGCTTGTTCCAAATTTTGTCAAGCAGCTGGCAGATTAGTGTCATGTGGACCTTCTGCTTGCTGGTCTTCCCCCTTGTCCCCATCGTTGCCAACAGCCTTTGCATTCTTGGCCTCCTCATCTGCTTCTTCACCAGCACCTTCCAGCCCCAACTTGGCACCAGGCCCTCAGAAATTGACTTCTTTTGGACTATTGAACATGAGAAACCGCCAGTTCTGCCCTAGTATCACGATTGAAATGGCCATGAAACCCGAGCCCTGCTGGCCTGTGCGGTCTTCAGAAAGCACATGGGCAACAGAAAGTATGCCTGTGGGACATGTTCCATCATTTTCCAGCAAAGTTGGGCTTAGAAAGGAACGAAGACTAGTGACTAGTGGTAAAAACGGCTAGTACATCCCAAAGGCTAGCGGCAAGTGCAACACTTCGCAAAACAACTTGTCCAAACCACCACACTGGTAGATTAGTAGTGGAATCATGTGGAATCGCACAACGATGTACCAGCACTGCTTTGCACGAGTTCTGCTCATGTGCGAAAATGCCTTTGGATCACTGAACCTGAGCTGCTGACTTTCTGGACGGTATCCGTGCCTCAGCATCCCAACAGGGTCCAGCAGCTTGTGGATGATTTGTGCTTTCCTTCTTACAACATGCTTTTCAGATGATATGGACTGTCGTCCAATCGGTTTCTGGATATTGAAAATACTGATACTCAAACCCCGAGCAGTGCCCCTCTGGCTCCACTTGCAATCAAAGCCACACGAGCGGAGAGTAACTGACGAGTAAGGCGAAGATCAGCTTCATGGAGAAATGCACAAATCAAACAGAGCAATTTCACTGACCTAGCGGGGTCTGAGCCTGAACGGATTTCGAAGATTTCAGCGTAAACTCAAAACCAAAACCACCTAAATGAGTTTCACCGGCTTCACTGGCTTCACCTGATTGTCTGTGATCTTTTTTCATGAACTCTTTCCCCCTTGACCTTGAAGTCTCCCTGAGCTCCCTTTGCTCTTTTTGCGCTTCTATGGATGCGAGAACAATATAGAACAGCTATGATCAAAGCTCGCCAGATCACATTGTGAACGGTCAGGAGCAGCTCATTAGCACGGCATCTGCCAGTTGGCCTTTCTGGTTTCTCTCCTGACATAGGCTGACTGAACCTCTGAAGATACGCGCAGGCTACGCATCGCTGTTGGGATCCAGAAAGACAGCTTGCTCATTGCGGCTGCAGTCTGCAGCAAAAACTGAGCGGGAAAGTGGGCAAACTGTTACTTCATTGTTCATAGCATAAAAATTAAGTCCGATATCTGAAAGTAAGACGTGTTGTGCTGAACTCTCTTCGTAAGAAAACAACTAATAGATCATTGTAACATATCACATATCACTGCACAGCAGGAACCTGATAACAACCCTGGATATAGCGAGTCCGATCGTGGATTGTAGCCTCAACCTCCGTACTCTCTTTTCAGTTTGCTGTCCTACCATGAACATCATTGACCACTGACGGCATCCGAAAGCAGTAAGAAGTGAAAGAGCAATCAGTTTTTCAATTCCGGATTTACAGTAGAATGTTTGATTCTGTGTGGGGAAACCTTCCATGCGTCTGCGAATCAAGTACGATGTCAGCATTCTCATCTCAGTCTCTGCGCCGGCCGCAGTGGCGGCAAAAAATGGAGTCTGCCATGTAGAGGTTGCCGCAATTTGGACAGTGGGAGATCTCGGTTGCGCTGTAGCGTGGCTACAAAATGGAAGTTTCGGAACTTCAGTTTCAAGGCGTTTCACTTTTTGCTGCCTATGAAACAATACTTACCTGAACTTTACTTATGAGATGTGTATCTTTGTTGTTTCTTCCAGCTGAAAACATAATTTCATATTGACCGTCCTCTTTCCGGAAAGGAAATGTTCAGATGCATGGAAACTCCAGGCACCGTAAATGTATATACAAATATACATATGGTGTGTAACAATATTATATCTTAAATATAATACTATTTGCGTAGTAAATACAAAACGTATATAGATAGTGTATTTATAAATAAAGATAATTTATATGTATATATATATATATGTAAAGTATATGTATAGTAAATGATAAATACATATAGTATATATATATAGTAAATATTTAGTAAATATATAGTATATATATATAGTATATATATAGTATATATATATACTATATATATAGTGTATATATAGTATATATATAGTTTATGTATATATATAGTAAAAAATAGTTATATATATAGTATATAAATATAGTATATATATATAGTAAATAAATATAGTATATATATAGTATATATATAGTATATATATAGTAAATAAATATAGTATATATATAGTATATATATAGTATATATATAGTATATATATAGTATATATATAGTATATATATAGTATATATATAGTATATATATAGTATATATATAGTATATATATAGTATATATAGTATATATATATATAGTATATATATAGTATATATATAGTATATATATAGTATATATATAGTATATATATAGTATATATATATAGTATATATATAGTATATAGTATATATATATAGTGAATTTATAGTGTATATATATAGTATATAAATAGTATATATAGTATATATAGTATAAAAAACAGTATACAAATAGTATATGTATAGTATACATATAGTATATGTATATACTATGTATGTATATATAGTCAAAATATAGTATATATATAGTATATATATATAGTAAATATATATAGTATATATATAGTATATATATAGTATATATATATATATAGTATATATATATAGTATATATATATAAATAGTATATATACGTAGTATATCCATAGTGTATATATATATATGATACAGGCCTGCAAGCCCCACCCCCTCCCCCGTCATGGTCATGGTTCCTCGCCCCCCTGTGGGAATGGGGGGGTCGCCCCCTCTCCCCTGTGGGAGTGGGGGGGTCTCTTGTTTGTATGTATGCATGCATGTATGTATGTAAGTATGTATGTATGCATGCATGTAAGTATGTATGTATGTCTGTACTTTAATGAAATGAAATGTAATGGTATGGTATGTATCTATGTATCTATGTATGTATCTATGTATGTATCTATGTATCTATGTATCTATGTATCTAGGTATGGCTGTCTGTCTGTCTGTCTGTCTGTCTGTCTGTGCATGAATGTGTGTATGTGGGTATGTATGTCTGTCTGTATGTAGGTATGTAGGTATGTAGGTAGGTAGGTATGTAGGTATGTAGGTAGGTAGGTATGTATGGTAACCGACAGAATTATGGGAAAAAAAAAAACGTTCAACTTAGACAGGCGGCGCCTGTGTCCGATTTTTCCATAATTGGATTTTTCCCCATAAGGGTTCAAAATATCCCGGAAGTGATCCGAACCTTTTTTTTTCCATAATTCTTGGAGGTGGCCATTATTTCCATAATTGATTTTTCCTGTGAAATCAGGGGGCTAGGGCAGATTGACCGGTTTTTCCATAATTAGTTTTTCCATAATTAATGTTTGGGGCTCCACCTGTTGGACATGTCATGGATCCACAATTCAAACCCGTTTTTTTTGGGGTTATGGAAGCTAATGGTGAAATGGGGTTCACATGTACATACCCGTATACATGATATTATGTACTGTATATCAATGGCAGGCTTTAGGGGCATATACCAGATCTTTAGACACATATTTTCTATAATTCAATATTCCCCCTTAAAATGCATTCAAATTGCGAACATCACATGATATTATGTATATCAATGGAAGACTTAGGGGCATATACCAGATCTTTAGACACATATTTTCTATAATTCAATATTCCCCCTTAAAATGCAATCAAATTGCGAATCGATGGACATACAGTCACCGACAGAATTATGGAAAAAAAATATGGAAACAATAATTATGGAAAAAAAAAGGTTCGTAACTTTTCTATCATAGACAGGCGGCGCCTGTAAATTGAAACGTTTTTTTTTCCATAATTCTGTCGGGTGCTGTAGGTGGTATGTAGGTATGTAGGCAGTATGTAGGTACGTAGGTCTGCAGGTCTGCAGGTATGTAGGTACGTAGGTCTGCAGGTATGTAGGTATGTAGGTATGTAGGTACGCAGGTACGTAGGTATGTAGGTATGTAGGTATGCAGGTATGTAGGTATGTAGGTATGTAGGTATGTAGGTAGGAATGGAAGTGTGTATGTAAGTATGTATGTAGGTATGTATGCATGTAGGTATGAAGGTATGTAGGTTATGTATCTATATAGGTATGTAGGTATGTAGGTATATAGGTATGTAGGTATGTAGGTATGTAGGTATGTAAGTAAGTAGGTAAGTAGGTAAGTAGGTAAGTAGGTAAGTAGGTAAGTAGGTATGTAGGTATGTAGGTATGTAGGTAGGTAGGTATGTATGTATGTGCCTGCACAGATGTTGGATGCTATGTTGAAGTACCTCCCTCGTACTTGCGCAGACCCTTGCTGCTACGTTATTGGATCCTTTCTGGTACATGCACACAGAGTTGATGTTACGTTACATGACCTTCTATTGTACACGCGCAGACAGTTGATGCAACGTTATAAGGAGTTATAAGATCTTCTTTCCTACTTCCGTAGACGCTTGATGTTACGTTGCAAGATCTTCTCTTGCACTTGCACAGACACTTGGTGCTACATTAATAGACCTTCTCTTGTTTTTGCACATGCACTTGAGGTTATAAGATCTTCTCTTGTACTTGCACACTTGCACAGACGCTTGGGCTTGGTGCTACGTTACAAGATCTTCCCTCGTACTTGCACAGACACTTGCTGCTGCGTTACAGGGTGCTGGGCTACGGGGGAGGGGGGACCACCATCTGGGGGGTAGGGGGTAGCCGGGGGGTAGCCGGCCTGGGGGACCATACCATCCGGGGGACGGGGTACCGGGCCGCGGACCGGGACCATATATATAGTATATGTATATAGTACATATATATATATATATAGATAGTATATATGTATAGTATATATATATGTATAGTACACATATATATATAGTATATAAATAGTATATATGTAAAGTATATATCTAGTATATATATATAGTATATATATATCTAGTATATATATAGTATATATATAGTGTATATATATATAGTAAATATATATAGTATATATCTAGTATATATATAGTGTATATGTAGTATATATATATGTAGTGTATATATATAGTAAATATAGTATATATACAGTGTATATATAGTATATATATATAGTATATATATAGTATATATATAGTATATATATAGTATATATGTAGTATATATATATAGCATATATATAGTGTATATATATACATATCAATAGTACGTATATATATACATATACATAGTAGATGTATATAGTGTATATATATATATACTTTACACACATTCATATCTATATATATATGTATATGTAAATGTGTATATATATATATATATGTATTTGCGAATGTATATATATATATGTATGTGTATATATATATGTATATATGTATATATGTATATGTATATGTATATGTATTTATGCATATGTATATAAAGACATGTGCACAATCTATAAATACATATAATATCAAAATATCCTTGAGGCCAAGGTAGCAAGATGGTACTAGTCAACTGAAGGAAAAGGAGGGAAGAACCGGATTGAGATCCAAACAAAGAAAGGGGCTGATCATCATGATGATGGTGGTGATGATGATGGCGACGACGATGACGATGACGACGACGATGATGACGATGATGATGATGATGATGACGATGACGATGACGGTGACGGTGACGGTGACGACGATGATGATGATGATGATGATGAACATGATGATGAACATGATGAAAATGATGAAAATGATGAAAATTGTGAAAATGAGTTCCAAAGAATTTAATGGTCCTGCTGCCTGACTATTGCCTGCTAAAGCAAGGGTACCTTCAGCTAGCACAAGTTAGCTTTTCGTGAATATACATATACATCTAATGTAATACATGTATATATATGTATACATATATCATATATTGGTATAATTACATTAGATTTGTAGTATAGATAAAATTTCAAGCCAACCCCTTTTTTTTGAGGAATACGGGGCTGACAAACTCGCGGAGTGTCCACCTCTTTTCAGTCTGTGCCAATGCAGCTGGGCTACTGCTTCTTCCGCTGAGATCACTCCATCATGATTGGAATCAATGCGCTGAAAGAGTGAATCCTGCCAGATGATTCAGCATATTCAAGCATATTCAAGCCATCTTGGTGGAAATTTGGGCGAACCCCGCAACAAACCGAACGGTACTACTGCACTGCCAGCATCTGCCAGCTTAGCAGGGCCATCCCACTGCACCTGGACAGGCATCGGCATCACTGGTGCCTGGTGAGATGGTAGGTAGGCAGCCTTGTAGGTCGCCTGTCAAAGTCTACAGCGTAGCTGGGACAGCAGGATGATCTTGAAACTTGCCGAGTCACATCATCTCAAATAAACCATCTGTCTACATCGTCTATAGATGTCTATAGTCTATATCTATCTCGTCTCATCTAGTATCTCATCGATCATTCCATGCCGATCATGGCCACTTGTGTGCCACTTGCGACTGCTTGGGTAACTGCCCAACCTGACTGGGCAGCTGCACCATACACCTTCCACCAGGGCTTGAGCTGCCTGTACCACGGCATGGGCACCGTGATGATTCTCTTATACTCTGTTGTCGGCGCGCACAAACTGCCACTAAGGAAATCTAAGGAAGGCTCAAACAGTATGCTGATGGAATCACTGATGGAATGACGATTTTAACAACCATGACAACCATGACAAGAATCTTATCCTGCTTTTGGATGCTCTTGATAGAGCTCTTGGGACGCTGTGCATAGTTTTTGAAATCTCCATTAATTCTTAAGATAATCTCAATAGAACGGCTTCCCAAAGCAACCGCTTCTCAAATTCATTAAGCTAAACAGCACAGCAACTGCTGGAAATGTGTTCAATATTTCTTCAAAGCGTGGCTTCAAACCAGTAGGAAATACACAAATGCCCTCTTGGATCTAGATCTAGGCCAATGGGTCGCCCGGTGCCGCGCAAACACCCTTCATCACACAGAGACAAGTTCAGGGAAAGCAGCAAAGGAATCTGGAATCCTGAAGTTTCCAAGGCCATGAAGACTCAAAAATGGTCCTATCGTAGATTCAAATAATTTCAAACACCTCATTCTTACTCTTATTCCTCCTAAAAACAAACATTTCATATTAAATCATATTACCATCTGGTTATTTAACATAGCCATGGAAAATCACCATTTTCAATAGGTAAACCATCTATAAATGGGTCATTTTCCATGGCTATGTTAAATAACCAGAGGGTACATCTATGCAGAATATATGTTCCACGCCGAAGACTCACCCTTGCTGCCTACTGAAGCTGCCGTAGGGTGCCCTCTGTTCCTGGAACATCACTGCCATATCAACGCAGGGCCCGGGGTCAGTAGGGCAAGCCCGCATGTACTGCACATTTTATTTGCCAATGTTCTGCCCAACCTGATAGACATGGCAACAATTTCAATCCACCTGGCAGATCCACTTGCAATGGAGCGTCGTATCTGCCATGTAAACGTTGCTGCGTGCCGCACGATGACTTTCCTGAGCACAAACGCGGACTCTGTCACGGATAAACGCAAGAAAAACACATGGAAATGCTGAGGAAACAACGTTGAGATATTGCAAGCGCGTGCATTGTCTTTTTCCATGCAAAATCCATCAAATGAAGGCTTGAATGGCTCATACGACAAGATGGTCACAGTGAATAAACCATACTACTGACATCTACTGACTATACTACAGTTTGCAGGTTACTGATGGCACCATAAACAATTCGAAGCTCTCTGGCTGCTCCGCCAAGTTACAAATTCATCCTGTGAAATAAGACCATCGTGATTTGTATCCTGAAAGGACGGTAAGAACAATGAACTTCCAGAGCTTAAAGCAAGCTCGCTGTCTCAAAATGCACCTCCAAAGGTTCCTTTCAATACGTTCTAATTCTAACAGTCCCCAAAGTATCAAGGAAGCGAGAGAATCATGAAACCGCCAAAATTCGTCAAATTTCTTCGATGTTGTTTTCCACTCACCACTGATGACTCTTGGCTGTGCTACCTGTCATGTCTTCAACCCCACCCAGTCCATCTGGGCGAAACGAGATGCCGCTGGGTTTATAGCAGCTATCCTTGGTCATCCCGAAACTCCTCCACTCGGTGGAGAAATCTGTGAAACAAATCAACAGTTCACAAATCTTCACCGATCTACTAAGTCACTTCTGCAGGAAACGTTGGAGTGTGCTGCAGCTCTACAGTAATTTGCTTTGCCAAGAAGCGTTGGCTGCACAGCCGACGGGGTAAAGGAGACTTTTCTGTGGACCTTACGAAACGCTTGGCCCTTGGAAATGCTTTGCCAAGCAGCCTTTGGTTTTCACACAATGACACGTTTGCTTTTGAAAGGAGTTCAGTAGTTCTCACCAACACAAATGCGATTGCTATCTTATGTGGTTGTGAAGAAAATGGGACACGCTTTGTCTGGTGTCGGTTTGTTGAGAGACTTGGACTTGAAGACAAAATAAGACAAATAAATCTTTGACAAATCCTGATTGTTTTGGTGCAAGCAAAATGTGTTACGCATTTGGAGCGGTTGTTTGCCATGCTGTGCTAGGATATATCGACGGAGATTGAAAACCTTCTCCCGCTGTGCCTGATCTAGCATTGGCGCAGATGAGTGCACTGCTGCCTCAGCCAACAACAAGGAAGAAACAAGCGGACCTGTTAGGATTCAAGCCTCCAAGGTCATGCATCTCAGCCGCAATGGCTAAAGAAAGCAGCGCTACACCCATAGGGCCACAGATCCTGTTAGTTTCCTTTCTCTTTTGTGTGATGTCACCTTCAGGTTATGGCTTGATGATGGCGCCAAATCATCAAAATTAGAGAAGCTTGGGAGAAAATGACCAAACCAACCATCATGACATGGAGTTGCTTGAAAAATGGGGCGCTTCCCAAGTTGATTGTTTAAACAGTTCTTCCCCCCTATCGTTGTGAGATTGGATCTTCTGCTTAGTCTACAGTAAGAAGATGTAAAAACTGCACAAGGAAGGCCCGCTGACAAACATTTTTCAAAATAAAGCATCCCTTCTACATCACTGACATTCACCAGAATATCAAATCCCAATGAAACAACCTCTGAGGTCACCGACGGATAGCTTTTGATCCCTCTCTTCCAAGGCAGTCGAATATTCTCGAAGCCTGCCAGATTCTCAACGTAGTATCAACTTTTAAACCTAGGAAAACACAAAGCCACATTGCTTAGGGGCCCAGACAGCAATTCAATGCAATTCAGGGGTCACTCGAGTTCATTAAGTATAAGGATTGAACTGTAGAACCATGTAGAACATATAGAACTGGTTCCAAAATGCTACAAAGTCTGATCCAGTTGGGAATGTTAAAACATCCTATAAGAAAAAATATCATCTGGCAGCGAGCTGGTCCGGCCTCTGCAGCTCCTCCCGGCAATCTGCGAGTTCTTGCCTAGGAGCGACGTCGTGGGTACCTGGTTATCTCTTGGGCCTTTTCATTCCACTTTCAAACTGGTTTTGATCCGAGCACCTCAGCTTGGTTTTCCATGGTTTTCCTCTTTTTAATGAGTCATGAGTCATGACCCAAAATGAATCGCAATGAATGGACATGAACCAATCATGGAAAGTTGGGTTCCATGATCCAAAGCAATCTTCAGCCATGGCACTCTTTCAAGGCAAGCAGCTCCTGCCATGAACTGTCGGAAAACGGCCAAAATCTGTCACACTTGAGGTCAAGGTCCAGCAGGGATCAGCAGGGCAGCTGTTGTATGGACTTAAAACACCCTCCTGTAGTGTTTACACAAAATGCAAACCGTAGATGCCATACAGCCCTTTCACTATCCCCTCCTTGCATTGAGCAAGCTCCTGTTGACAGGCTTCTAAGGCTGCGCCTGAATCTGCACAACTGCCGAGCTTGGTCGATCTATGTACCAATCTGTTCTGAGCGCCGATGGTTTGATGATAGTCCATTCAATCATATTCAATCCAAATGCTGGAGATTGTCTGCAAAACTACTCCCAGTAAGTCAGCAAGTACAGATTGCTCCAAACACTCCAGAACCCTTGTGGAAAACAACAGAATGCAAAGGCAATCCGCATTAGCATGCTGAAGACGCGTACTGTACATTCGACTTCTCAATGATATAAACAACATGAAAACAAACATGATTTTCGCGGTCTTATCCATGAAGGGAAGTGAGCTGCTTCCAGCTTGTTTGCTCGTTCAAGGTTTCATTTGCTAGGGCCCCTGCCGTTTCCGACACCTGCGGAGCCAACAAGCCTTTCAGGAACATGCTCAAGAGTCAAGAGATGATGTGATGTTGTGCAATCAGCCGAAACGTGTCGAAACTCAGGGCCCGAGCGGATGCTTCCACTTTTGAACAACAGAGAACTTGCTGGAAGATGTTGGTCGCAATACCAAACATTGTTGACTATCCACCGCGATGAACTGATTCATATCCATGTGCCGGTGTGTCTGATGGCACGTATACAATACATCCAGTTTGAAAGGGAAATGGGCACAACATGGCACAACCTTTTATGGAGCAGTGTGAAGTAGATCATACTTTACCGGACTTGGCCCGACAAGGTAGCTCTGCCTTCGATTGTGCTCGTCAACGATCTGGTCAATGACCTGCAACTGCATGCCATGGGAACTGCTGACCATCAAAGGAACCATATGATGCTGGCAGAATGACATCCCCACCTGAGCGTCTAAATTGGCTGCCAGCTGTCGAAATGCCTGTCGATTGGTGAACCCTTATTTTGTAGATAGACCAGGGATACATACTACCATTGCATGAACCTCAAGGCAGAAGCATTTGCAGCCTTTCAAAAGCATGGCAAAATTGGCAAAACTGATCTAGAGATGCTTAGAGCACGTCGGACGTTGTAGACATTCTCCAACAGAACAACTACCATTTGATGGAAATCCGTCCGGTGATGCTTAGTCCCTCAAGCAGGAAACTGCGACTGGCATGGACTACCAGGTAGAATATCAAGCCACCAACCAGTCCACTTCCGGTCCTCAATCTTGCGCTCGACAAGGATTTGCCCCTGTTCCTCTTCGGTGAGCATGTGGATTGGAGAGCTGATCCTTGCAACAGTCGAATTTCATGACTTGCTGTTGATGCATTTGCACCAAGGCACTGCGGGGCACTTTGCTGCACTGGCACCTCCTGGTCAACACAAACACATGTTCTAGGATCGTGAAAGCCACGGGCCGAAGAAAGCTGAAGCACATTGGCTTTATACTACTATAATCTACTATATATATACAGTATATACTACACTACTCTATATTGCTTTATATTACCATATAATTAGCCCTTTGTATCACTTGACAACGCCCCAGTGTGCAGTGTCCCGTCACAGGTGATGTTTTGTTTCTCCTCACGCTTGGAGCCACAGTGTCTGCAGAAAAGCGAGTCGGCCATAAACACATTGCCTTAGTGAGAAGCAGTTGCCACATTGGTCTTGATGGGCTCTTTCCCTGTCAAGTGTGCATCGTGTGTACGGTGTGAGCCTTTGTCTGCTTGAACCTTCATAGTGTTTGCGTCCATACATGCGCGGTTACCCACACAAGAAGGCGTAACTTATGAGTGTAAGTGGGAAATAGTGGGAATACTGAATACAACGGGCAGGAGTCTTTCTTCTGCCAAGCAGCCACATTTGTGACACTGAGTTTCCTTTGCCTGGAAGCACTGGGAGCGTTCATGTTTCCGACTAACAACTGGGCAACATGTTGTGCTCCTGTTTGCAATTCATATGGCACTAGCTTGTGAAGAGGCAACCACTTAAATGTCAAAACAACACAGCAGGAGCCTTTCCAGTTGTGCTTGCAATTTCTGCGCCGAAAAGTGTTCTTGCTGCCATTGCTTGTTAAACAGCTTTAAGGCAGACTGAAGATCACATTTGCACTCCTGCAAATTGTATCCTCCGCTAAACACCGATGCATAGACACAACACCACTGACAAATCGGTTCCAGCTTCTGTCTGCATGGCTTTTCAGGATATTCCATTCTTGTCACGAACCGTTGTGGCACAGTTTCGCAAGCAAAGAATCGAAGGGAAACCATACTCTGATTGGTCTAGTTCAATCACACTCTGTGGCTGTTAACTATTCCCAACTTGGCTGGCAAACGCCTGCAGCATGCAAGATCTACAAAATGACACTTTGCAAAATTGCTGATGAGCGCTGTGCATTCACCCCACCACCGACATGAGCAATGGCAATGCTAAGTTCAGATGCTGCGTGATCCATCATGGCATCTGCCACCTGGCACACACTCAGACACTGTAAGACACTGCATAAGGATGTGCCAAGGCATGTGCTAAGTGCTAAGGGATTTGCCAAGGGATGTGCCAAGGGATGTGCCAAGGTGGCACTAGGTGGAAGGGAACAGAAGGGTACAGGGAAAGACCCAACCCGCTGACGGAGCACATCCGAGAGCGCCAAGAGTTTGTCTACTCTCAGACTAACAACACACGAAGACACACACACACGAGGGAAAGTTTTGATCCGTGCTGTTGCACTTTGCACTCAATCCCTTTTCACAAAGGCTTTGCTCATACTCATGATGAAGCTGTCTGTTTGTTGCTTTTACCTTCGATCGCGGTGGAACACAAACCACAAACCAGCTCGTTGCATCCACCATGCATTTTGTTTCCAAAAACAAATCTTTGAAATGTGGAACAATAGATGACAAAGATGCAAATAGTCAAAAGGACACATCTTGAAAGAAAACTACACAATCCAACAAACAATACGAATAGAACCTGAACAAAACACCAAAAATCTTGGAACCGGATGAAACCGCTTCCTTGTTGCTTCTCGTTGTGCATCTTTGGGGCTGTATAAGAGAACTTGCAGTAGTGCCCACTTAAAAGAGCTGGCTGCTCAATCCCCTTGCAGCATCTTGCCTTATGCTGGGCAAAATCGTCTGCCTCGGCACAACGCTGTGCAAGTACGGTCGGATGCACATCTTTTGCATTCTTTTGGTATGGTTGCTATTGTTTCTACGATGTCAACATGGTTGAGTGGTTCCCTGCATTGAATATCCTCTACTCTAATTCGGAATTGTGTTCATTATGTCTGGCAGCTTGAAACTCCTGGACAAAGGGGCAGAATCCTGAAAAAAATTGCAGATTCATCGCCATTGAGGTCCAGGCGCCCTTGATGAACGCCCTGGAATGCCCCTGTGCAGTGTCTGTTTGTGAATTGGAAAGCCCCAACATCTCCCAACATGCAATTGTTGAATCCTAGTATCTGCACTTCACTCCACTGGTTTCGAAGGCTCTGCAGATCTTTGTGCTGCCTTGAACTGTGATGATCGATGATCGGCAGGTGCAACCCAAGAACCACCTTGGAGGACGTCATTGGTGACTTGGGTTGGAACTACGACACTCCTCAAACGCAGACCATTAACAAAGGTTCACAAACTAATAGTAAGCCACAAACTACTGTACCAGCTACTGTACTACGTTGCGTTTCAACTTGGATCTTGTTTCATAAACAAGGACAACGAGGCTGACTTCCATGGAGGTTCTAATTAATCAGAATGCTTTGATTGTCAAAACGGTTTTGATAGGTTTTGACCAGTTGCCGGAAGTCGTTTCATTTGAAGCACCTGGACCGTCTAGACCACCTTGGATAATTTCAATGGGCTTCTGTGGTCGCTAAGTGACCACACCATAGAGCACACCGCCCCAATCACCGATGACATAGACAGAATGCGGCCGATCATCACCTCCCCAATTTGATGCCCGACGCCAGCTGTCTCAGTGCAAATCACACCATTCTGGGCAATAACAGTTTCCTTGTTTCTACCTAAACCTGCTTTGTGCAAACACTGCAGCGCAATCTAAAACACCATGTAAATATAGTGTGTATATATATATACTTGTACCGTCCTGACATGTTGCCTCTACATGCTCAATATGACATGACCTGCCTCAGCGTCCCATATATGATATGTCTTTTTCATGCCGGACAGGCATGAAAAAAAGAAATTAGTTTGTGGGTGTTGATGACAAAACAAGAACTCAATCTGCTGGGCTGGTTACATCTGAGACTTACAGTAACATACAACATATATATAGATATATATATATATACACACAGTTGACACACTTACACTTGAACAAATTTGAGACAGATAGATACACTCTTGATCCTGCATTGCTCCCAGCACCCCAAGCAAAGCACCTCCATTTAGCTTGAAGCCTCAGATTCACTGTGAGTTGAGGCAAGGGAATCACACATGTCTCAAAGGAACACATATGTATATAATATATATATATATACATATGTATATATATATATATATGTGTATGTGTATATATACTATACGTATGATGTATGTATATACACATGTGTTCGACTTGAGGCCTTGAAGACTGCTTCTCTGAAACAGAAACATCGTCCCCTTCCATGGCCCCAACAACCCTCACCAGAGCCTCTTAAATCGACAAGCAACATGCTGGCTTCATGTCACTGAGGCCATTGTATTCCCTTAGCTCAGTCAAGTCCAGCTGCTTGTAAACATTGGGCATCAATGGGACGAGGGTTTGTGGTGACTCTTAGTCCTGCATAATCTAGCGATGTCCAATTTTAGGAGCAAATGATCTCATAGCAACCCAAATTTGACTCATCCACGGGCTTCGAGCAGCATGGAAAGCTTGAGCTTGAGACAGGGGATTCTTCGGTTTTTTTGGAGGATACCACCTGGCCACTTGGCGCACTATGCTTTGTGCTGGAAAGCAGGCGCTTTCCAAGATGAAGAAACTCTGCTGATGTCTCCTTGTTTCGTGAGTCTTGTGGTTGAGTTGGATATGTTGGATGAGGACAGCCCGACAAACTGTACACATTGGACATCCTTTGTTCTTTGTTCTGGGCGTCCAAGCCATGGAGGACAGGAGAGATCCTGTGCTCCACGGTTTCGGGGGAGTTCGGATGATTTCAGTGCACTCTTCGCCACCCTTTTGAATCCTTTTGACAGTTTCGTGAGGATTCTGTTGGCAGTGAAACAATTAAAACATGTTAAAACAATACAAGGCAATCCATTGCAATCCATCCAGTATATTGTGCCAGGATATACTTTTTTTATCTTTTTTTACCAATTTGTCAGCAGTTCATTGATCCAGATCGACTTGTAAAACCTTTGAGAAGTGCAACTTTCCAATCGCTCCTTAAACTCCGGTGGTGGTGCAACACATAGCGGAAAAGCCTCAAGCCGGTCACAAAATCTCCTAGAGGTGCAAAAGGTTCATGGCATATCATGGCAATGCAAATTTTGGGGCCAAGGCGATTGAGGCAACAGCAACTGCCACTCCTGGCACAGGACAAATACAGCCAGTTCTCCCAGAAAGGGAAGGGCAAGCCGGGCAAGCCGGGCAAGCCGGGCAAGCCGGGCAAGCCGGGCAAGCCGGGCAAGCCGGGCAAGCCGGGCAAGCCGGGCAAGCTCTCAAACTGGCGAAGGACCCTAGCAGGCCCTAGCAAGTGCCCAGCCTGACCGCACCATGGCGCCAGTGGCGTTGAAACGCCAAATGAGATGTCTTGAGGTTCTATTTGACACTTAGGAAATCTTAGGAATTTAGATTTGCTTGATTTGAAGGATGTGAAATGTCGTAAGCCTGAATGGCCTGAATGAAGAAAATCCATGATCTGCTTGACAACATGCAAAGGACTTCGCCATCTTCATTGCCTTTTGGAAGTTCACCCGTTTCTTTGTCTGCAAACAAACTGAAGAGTGAAACGAGTTTATACCATCTCTGAAGCTGGAACCGAGAGTCATCCAGTGAACATCCACAAAGGGGCATGAAATGCCAAGAGCTCCATAGCCTTGCCCATAGCTGCCATAGCTGTGTGAGGCTTCCATAACAGCTCCAGGCTGGGCCCCGGACCAGCGCCTTTTCCACATCCGAACATGGTACGAGTATGTGCAAAGATTAGCAATCTCAGGGTGCATGTGACCCCAGAGAGTGCACATGATACATGCTAAAAAAAGAGAGAAGCACATCTTTCACTGCAGAGTTCTGCCTGGGTCGGGATTTTTATGAAAGATGCATGTATATATACACTATTATATATATATATGTATATATAATTGCACACACACACACACATTTTTTCTGGCGTCGGAATAAACGTCAATCTACTGTTTTGCCCCCAGGACCAGGCAAACTCAAATAGCAGGACATCGCGTCGCTTCAGCTTTGCTGAAAAGTGACACGTTTCCAGCAACCGTGCATTGGAGCTTCGGGATGTTGCTCTAGACACATTCAGTAATCAACAACTCTGTGGGCAAAAACACATGCAGAAAACATGAAAAATCCAGGGTTTCTCCTGATCAGTCACTAATGCCCCTCACGGCCATTTGTTCCTCTCGTCTGCATGGCCGGGTGCGCCGATGGTCGGCAAGTGCCGCTGGCGCCGTGCCGCTAGTGCAAGTGGCGCTCGGAATCTTCAGTCAAAGCAGTGGCCTCCTGCAGAAGAAAGCGAGAGGCTAGGAGAGGTTGAACAAGGCCAAAGAGTCATGCCTTTGATTCTTGATGGTTATTGGCCATTGAACTCGTTAGAATTGTCAGAACTAGTGTCCTTCATTTTCTAACAGCTCATCAAGCAAGCTTTTCATGTCTGGATGCCGTTTGATAGATCAGATGCGCTACCAGAGCAGCAGAACAAAGCAACCCTGATTTGACATCTTCTATTTTTCTCACTGATGCCTCAAGGGACCCATTTTTGCGATTTCCTTGAGAACTCTACTCATGATAGATGGACTGATACCCAGCAAGCAGGAAATCAGATATGCCCTCTGCGTGACTCCGCGAGTTCAATGAAAGCTCTTGAATCTGTAGGATTCAATCACTGTTCAATCTTTCCCGGGCACCTCCCGCTGTGGGCTTGCGGCCATCTGGCAAAACAAACAGAGCTGCCGATCCAGCTGTGAGCGTTCCCAGCCGCTAAAGTTTCTGAGTCATTGACAGAACAAAATCGTCATTGTCTAAGTCTACCCACAAAATGCCGGAATGCTGCCTTGTTCCACTTGGTTCCTAATTCTTGCGAGCTGGGATCCCTTTGGACGTATACCATCGTTTGTTGCTACTACTCTTTAGTGGCATGGCTGTAGAGCCGGTTTCAAACGACAGCATCCGAATCAGCCCTCCACCTGTTGAAGCTGCTCTCGCGTGCCATACACCTGCTCCGCAAGCTCGCCCTCAGAGCCCGGTGGCCAGAGAGGCTCAAGGACCGTGCATACAGATTGCCCATGATTGCCCTGTCGTGCCGTGCTCACACAATTTTCGATGCAAGCTCAACATGCTCAATCAATCGTTAAATTGACCTGCATGATTTGAATCAGCGCAAGAGAAAGCACACAGAAAATCCGTTGCCGATAACCCTTACGGCTGGGCAGCTGGACGCAACAGTCCCAATCCCATCTGAGAATCGGACGTATTTTTGCAGGAGATCTGCATACATGGTGGTTTGCCTGCAGGGCCGACAAACCAGATCCAGGGTGTGGAGTGTATGTGCAAGGAATGCAACTCTGAAAACTATTGGGTCTTGAGCAGGCTTGACATGGCGTGACTATAACCTTGGCACCCCAGTTACTGCAAAGCCACTCTTCCCTGGTGAAATGAAGCAACTACCCACAAATCCTGATGGCAAGGTGCATCAAGCAGAAAGCAGTCGCTTGTACTGCTTACTCCTATCATTATCAAATGAATTTACTGGGATTCATTCATTGCTTGAAACAATCAAACCTACTGCTCGAATACCTCGGGCCTTCTGGACATCTGTTGTTGTGCATCACCTGGGCAAGATGTGGATGCTAACTGGTGCTGATCCAGCAGACTTCTTGTCTTGGCTTTACTGCAGACCGGTTGTTAATATTGGGATATCCGAATGGAAAACAGCTGCAAACTGTCCATCTGGGACACTAAAGACAGCAATCCCAGCAAGTCTAAGTCCGGCGCATAGTTCCTCAAGCTTAGCCATGACAGGGTCACCGGAGGGACCTCAACATCGTGAATATGTCTTGTCAAGTTGATCCGTTCAGGGCTGCAAAAAGCCATAACATGTCAGGTCAGGAGGAGGGTGGATCGTAGCTTAAGCAAGGCAGGAAATAGCCAACGAGCCAACAGGAAAGAGAACCTTGCAAAGTTACCTTTCGCCTTAGGTCTCAGCTGGCTGGAGCGCTCTTGCGAAGGCAAGCCTACACAGAATGGGAAAAACATGGAAAAAGGATGAGAAAGGTTGACCTTTGGGTTCTTCATAGCCTGTTACTTCAATGCCCTTTCGAAACTTGGGTGGACCAGGGGTCTCAGACTTCCCAATATGAATCTACATCATACATACATGCATAATATATATATAATATATATATATATATATAGACTGTCCAGACTCTAGACTCTTGGCCTTCCTCAACTTACCAAAACACCGTCGACATACGCCATCATTTGGCAAGAATTCTTTGCTCACATTGTTTTTCGCATTCTAAACTCTAAATAATGATCTGTCCTTCTACTCTGTGCCAAGGAAATCCTTCTGTCAAATCACATTGCAAATCGGTGGTGTCAAATGTGGCTGTGAAATCAAACCACAACTACACTGGGCCAAATGTATGGCACAGGCCTTGGGAAGTTGACCCATTTTAACGGGAGAGTCCTCGCAAAATCTCACAGTCCGACTCATCCCCAAAACTTGTGATGATTGGCAAGACTGACTTCACCACCTCTGTGTTCTCACTGCAGATTCTTTATCAAAGTCAAGATTAAGAAAATTAGGAGAGAATCTACTGTTTCATAAAGATTTCCTGAGTGCTCGTGCTTCCACCTTTGCAAAAAAAGTCTAGAGTTTGTGTGAAAATTGCTCATGGCGAGCTTTGTGTCCTCCGAGCGCGGTGACTTGATCTCGTCCCCCAGCGCCAAGGAGACTCGCTTGGGCGTTTTGGGCGTCTCTGGATCCTGTGGAGGCCCAGTTGGTGATGGTGGCTTGAGATGGCTTGAGCCAGTTGAATCATCAAGATTCAAGCTGACGACCAGCCACTGTGCATCTGTTCTCACCCCATATGAGAATCATGTGTTGGCCGCATCGCACCTCGCCCAAGAGCCGTGGTAGCTCCGCAGGAGTTTGGGGCTCCTTTGGCTGCAGATGTACCGGATTGACTATTCCCTCCGCCTTCACTGCAAACATATTTCTGCGGAGTCATTCACTGTTTCCCTTGAAGCCTAAATGTAAATACCAGTCTCTTGCGCCAAGCACTTGTTCCATGTGAATCTTTTCAGGGAAATGCTCGCCTTTGCAGGAGGTTTCACCGATTCTATTGAAAGTTTGCTCGGTGGCAAACATGTCCGGTGACGCACTTTGTAAATGGGTTCCTACTTGCATGTGCAACCAATAATGGTGCAAGAAGTTGTGACTATTAGGTGTGAAAGGTGTTGGGGATGGTTGGGGGCAAAATACCAAGTAAATCGGCTTATTCTCTCAGAGGCTGTTGGCGAAGAATGCTTTCCATCTCATAATGTTCGACTACAGCAGTTTTTCCTGCTGCGCCAAGTTTGTCAAGAAAAGGCGTTCGATGAAATGTGCTGGCATTGTTGAGGATAGCGTTGTTGCAGTCCTTTGTTTTTGCACTTGTGTGGATGTAGCTACACTCCCGGTTGATGCTGTTGATGTTTCTGCAGTTGGAGTTGGAGTATTCGCGGTTGAAGTAGTGGTGGTTCGGAGCAGTGGCCACCTGCAACTGTTGTTGGTACATTGCTTCTGCAATACTTGCTGCTGCAACTCTTCAACAATCTTTGCAGTGTTTGAATTCCTAACCAAACCTAGCCAAACCGTACCTTGAAAACAGTAGCACAATAGAGAAGTTCGTCTGGTTTTTATCGCGAAATGTGGGAACATCAAAAAAACCTTGACTACAAGGAAGATTTGGAATCCATGCAACACACTAACTGTCTTGGTGGAAAAAGAGATCTTGAGCCATTAAACCAACCTGAAAAGGTGTCTCACTCATTCTCAACCGGCAGGCACCTCGTGAATGCGCGGAGGCGCTTCCACTTGCACATGCCTGGCAGTTCCCAAACATTTGGATAGGCCTACTTTGAAGCATATGAGTCTTGCAGCAGAATCTGTGTTTAGGAAGAATTGTCTGAGTTCTGACCCCTCATCCAACATACCTCACTCAATTTTACTCAGGCACAGAGCCTTGGCTGACTTGCTTCATTTTGTTCGATTAGCTTTCTGGGCCAGAACACCACCCGCCCCAAAATACCACCCGCCCCAAAATCTTTGCAGTTCTGATATATCCACCCCTCGGTGGCTGCTTCATGCTCCTCAAGTCCAGCCATCTGAGCCCCAACAGTACGATCCAGTCTCACTCGATTCATCAAAAGTCATCCTTCATCCAGCAGCAGTTGGGTTTACAGTATCTATGTTTATCTGCCAGTACCTGCACCCTTCAAGGCCACAAACCTTTGCCGAAACTTGTCTCGTGGCCTGGCACCACGAGCAGGCATTGACCTGACAGTCAAGACCAGCAGAAATAGGACGCAACGTCAATGCTGTCTGCAATGACAATACATGGATCCACTGACTACCAACAAGATCCAACAAGCCTTTTGATCCTTTTGGACTTTGATGCCTCCATGGTTTGCCCTTGTGGATCAGAAGTAACCCACAGGGCTAGGAATATGGAGGCAGTGCCTCGCAAGGAGCATGACTCAACTTGCCGGCAGTCTGTTTGGGACGCCACCACTGAGGATATACACCATGACAACCTGGTGCCCAACACATGGTGGGCTGCTGAGAATACACAGCCATGCGTCCGCATGCACCACACATGCCACCAGTCCAAAGCACCATTCGAACATCAACTCAAATCATTAAGTAGAAAAAGGACGCAACGTCAATGCTGTCTGCAATGACAATACATGGATCCACTGACTACCAACAAGATCCAACAAGCCTTTTGAACCTGTTGGACTTTGATGCCTCCATGGTTTGCCCTTGTGGATCAGAAGTAACCCACAGGGCTAGGAATATGGAGGCAGTGCCTCGCAAGGAGCATGACTCAACTTGCCGGCAGTCTGTTTGGGACGCCACCACTGAGGATATACACCATGACAACCTGGTGCCCAACACATGGTGGGCTGCTGAGAATACACAGCCATGCGTCCGCATGCACCACACATGCCACCAGTCAAAAGCACCATTCGAACATCAACCCAAATCATTAAGTCGAAAAAGGACGCAACGTCAATGCTGTCTGCAATGACAATACATGGATCCACTGACTACCAAAAAGATCCAACAAGCCTTTTGATCCTTTTGGACTTTGATGCCTCCATGGTTTGCCCTTGTGGATCAGAAGTAACCCACAGGGCTAGGAATATGGAGGCAGTGCCTCGCAAGGAGCATGACTCAACTTGCCGGCAGTCTGTTTGGGACGCCACCACTGAGGATATACACCATGACAACCTGGTGCCCAACACATGGTGGGCTGCTGAGAATACACAGCCATGCGTCCGCATGCACCACACATGCCACCAGTCAAAAGCACCATTCGAACATCAACCCAAATCATTAAGTAGAAAAAGGACGCAACGTCAATGCTGTCTGCAATGACAATACATGGATCCACTGACTACCAACAAGATCCAACAAGCCTTTTGATCCTTTTGGACTTTGATGCCTCCATGGTTTGCCCTTGTGGATCAGAAGTAACCCACAGGGCTAGGAATATGGAGGCAGTGCCTCGCAAGGAGCATGACTCAACTTGCCGGCAGTCTGTTTGGGACGCCACCACTGAGGATATACACCATGACAACCTGGTGCCCAACACATGGTGGGCTGCTGAGAATACACAGCCATGCGTCCGCATGCACCACACATGCCACCAGTCAAAAGCACCATTCGAACATCAACCCAAATCATTAAGTAGAAAAAGGACGCAACGTCAATGCTGTCTGCAATGACAATACATGGATCCACTGACTACCAAAAAGATCCAACAAGCCTTTTGATCCTTTTGGACTTTGATGCCTCCATGGTTTGCCCTTGTGGATCAGAAGTAACCCACAGGGCTAGGAATATGGAGGCAGTGCCTCGCAAGGAGCATGACTCAACTTGCCGGCAGTCTGTTTGGGACGCCACCACTGAGGATATACACCATGACAACCTGGTGCCCAACACATGGTGGGCTGCTGAGAATACACAGCCATGCGTCCGCATGCACCACACATGCCACCAGTCAAAAGCACCATTCGAACATCAACCCAAATCATTAAGTAGAAAAAGGACGCAACGTCAATGCTGTCTGCAATGACAATACATGGATCCACTGACTACCAACAAGATCCAACAAGCCTTTTGATCCTTTTGGACTTTGATGCCTCCATGGTTTGCCCTTGTGGATCAGAAGTAACCCACAGGGCTAGGAATATGGAGGCAGTGCCTCGCAAGGAGCATGACTCAACTTGCCGGCAGTCTGTTTGGGACGCCACCACTGAGGATGTACACCATGACAACCTGGTGCCCAACACATGGTGGGCTGCTGAGAATACACAGCCATGCGTCCGCATGCACCACACATGCCGCCAGTCAAAAGAACCATCGAAAACAACTATCAAAGTTTGGAGCACCTTCCCTCAGGAACATGTCTCTTGTATTGTCATGTATTTTCGTATTTAAGGTTTTAAGGCTTAAGGTTATGTTGTGGTTATTTCCGGATTGTATTGATTTAGTATTCGCATGATATTGTCAAATGCAGATGGTATTGAAATCAACAGTTGTTGGGTCATACAATTAGCATGAATATATATGATATATTAGTTGCCACACTTTGGTGCCTTAAGATTTCCTAACATAGGGGGTAAAAAAGCCCTCGTTTTATCTGATTTTTCTCGATTAAAACCACCCTACCCCACAGTTATCCTTAACTGACTCTACTAATTGTGAATAAACCAATACCAAACATCCAAATGTTGCCATGCAACCATTCCACCGACTATCAGAGCTATACTGGAGACATGTCCCCGAGGGTACGTGACATTTCCTTTGAAACTAACATCAACCCACATCAACAAGTAGAAATAGGACGCAACGTCAATGCTGTCTGCAATGACAATACATGGATCCACTGACTACCAAAAAGATCCAACAAACCTTTTGATCCTTTTGGACTTTGATGCCTCCATGGTTTGCCCTTGTGGATCATAAGAAACCTACAGGGCTAGGAATATGGAGGCAGTGCCTCGCAAGGAGCAGGACTCAACTTGCCGGCAGTTTGTTTGGGACGCCACCATTGAGGATATACACCATGACAACCTGGTGCCCAACACATGGTGGGCTGCTGAGAATACACAGCCATGCGTCCGCATGCACCACACATGCCGCCAGCCAAAAGCACCTTGCAATCGCCTTGTGGAAGGAAAAAGGGTCGAGGAAGAGGACGAGTGAAATTGCTTTCGTTTTGTTCAGACAATGCTGGATGCGGGTTTGCCCCCTCTGGGTTCTCCATGAAAGCAAGGCCAAGAATCCTGGCCACTGGCCATGCTGAGCACAGGACAAATCAATTGGCTAGCTCTCTCCCCGAACTGGGCATCCCACTTCATCGTTCTTAGCTTCCCATTCGGCGATGGAGTTCCTGTTCAGGTCATGATTCTGCCAAGAGTGGTTGCTGCGAACAGAGGACAGCATGGGACAGCATGGGACAGCATGGGACAGCATGGGACAGCATGGGACAGCATTGGACAGCGTGGGACAGCATGGGACAGCATGGGCAGTATGGGACAATGGGACGGCATGGGCAGTATGGGACAGCCTGGGACAACGCTGATAGATGTGCCTCCCACTGATGCATGCTGCACGCGCAGATCCATCCGGTCAAAACGCTGTCGCACCTTGGGCCAACGAGGACGACTTGATATAAGACTTAAGGAAATTCACTGCTAGGCTGGGAAAGTAGCTCCTACGAGTCTTGGAATCTAGTGAGCAGTTCTGGAAACTCTTTTGTTTTGCTCCTTGGCAGCTGGATCAGCTGGTTTTGCCACAGATCAAGCAGATAGTCTGGGAAGAGACTTTTACATAAATTTCAATCCACAATGCCCTGCAGTAACAAATTTCCAGGCTTCACCAAATCGCTCTGCTTGGCATCCCCGCGTATTCTCGTAGGTCCACGATATCAGTCACGGTGGCACTGTTGCCACCTCTCAAACGCAAGACGACCTCGAAGCGAGGATAAAGATTCAGCAGATCACTGCAATATTCTCTCATATTCTCTCATACTTGGCAAATCTGAATAGTTCCGAGAATCATCAGCGTCTCAAGAAGCTGATCCGAACAGCATAAATGACTCCTTTCTCCCCTTTGAAGAAAGCAACGTCTATCCCTGCCTCCAGGAACTCTTGAAAGCTTAACTTCCGCAAGCGCCGACGCGCTGTGTTGAGGCCATGCCTTGGGACCAACGCAAGACGAACTCTAGAGATACGTACATCCTACATCATCCTACAGGATACCATAGGATACCTATATAATCCTATATACATATTCCTTTTAAATCCCAAAGCGAAAAGCCGTGACAGTGAAGCCATCGAGAGCAGAACAACTTGAGATTTCTTTGCAAGGCAAATGGCTTCTGACTACAACTTGAAGTTGTCATTGCACAACTATTGCGCTAACATGGGACATTGGGGAATGCACGAATTGTTCTCGTCTTCGTCCTCATCGTCGTTTTCATCTTGCTCCGTCTGGCCGCAGGATAGTCAACATTGGGACCTACGCCCAAATTGGCTTCTATCTCCAGCCAGTGGGAAGCCCCACCTATATCAGCATCCAACAGTTACAGTCAATAGATTCCGGTCGTCCAAACATGTTCTCATCTCATATCATCTCTTGGGAGCATCGTATTGGAGGTGCCACAATGACGAAATCTCAACATGTTTATCCACAAGGCTTGCCGCTTGTGCATCCACTTACCGCACAAAAAAGACAGACGAGGATTATATACCCAGGGAAATCACCATCGGCTTTCGCAAACAGTCACAAAGAATATCTTGCCGCCCAGTGGCATTGTCCTCAAAAAGAACCTTGGCACGTCCAACAAGCTGAAACAATATTCTCGGCATTGTCTTCTACTCAATGTATGTACTTGCTTGAACAGGTTCCATAATTGTAGATATAGAATTATATATATATACATGTATACTGTATCTTATATGTGTCAATCTCTCTCTTTCCCACTTGAGAGAGAATCAAAGAGAGGCAAGCGCGTCAGTCCTTTCCCGGTCTTTCAAACTTTCTGATCTTATGTTATCTTTTGCTTTGCATCTAGACAGCCAGCAGCAACACAGTAGACATCTGAGCGTTCCTCGAACAGCATGGCTGAGTTTGTGACATCTTTCAAGTTAAGGAGGTCTGCCACATTCACTCCAAATCTGGTGAGCACCTTGTGACAAACGCACTTGCGAGTTGCATCTCACAATCTGATGGAACTTGCCACTATGCATTTAGTTTTGATGTGGGAACGAAAAGCCAAGTGGAAATCAAGATTGGTGAACTCTAAAAAGTATGGCACTCATTCTTTTACTGTAGCTGAGTTGACACTCGTAGAAGGAGTGAAGGCCCTCAGAGTTACCTAGTTGCTGGGGAACCCACGAAATGCATCTCCGGATTCTTCATGAGCAACTCAAACTCATCCCGATGGATCTGTCCTTTGAATTCATCAGCAAAGCGGGTCACAAGTCTGGCCAAGACTTTTCATTGATCTGTAGGTCTGCGTCCCCCCCACAAAGGCTCATTACAATTCAAGAAACTCTACATAACTCCATGTTCAATCGAAAGGACGCCCGATTCTTGAGCTTATCGAACTTATCAGTACTTCTCCTGATATGGCATGAGCACCTTTACAACTTTGCAGAGACTCAAACACTGCGGGATCTCAGCAGAATTCTCAGCCGATGGCTGTCATTGTCTTTGTCATGACCTCGGCCATGGGCAATGCGGCAATTCATGAGCTGGATGTAGAAGGCAGCACCAAGTGATAGACATCAATACAAGTATAGGCTGTTTAGTATAGGTATGCTCAGAAATCACCGTGCGCAAGTAGCTGGACCAAGGTGATCAACTGAAGATACGGCAAAAAGGCTTTGCTGGAAAGGGTTATGCGGGATTGCACTCTTGGACTAAGACCCAGGTGATTGCTACGAGTATGTCAATATCAATATCAACTACGAGCCAGTGCCATTGCCATTGACTGTGTAAACATATCACCAAGGCCAAAAGCAGGCTGTGATTTTCTCAGCGTGCGACACTCGAGGATCTCCAATAATGTGTTTTTGAGGTAAGCCACTGCAGCCTCTCGCCAGATCTATCCACTGTTGTGTTCACCACCATGGGTTCGTTTCAAGGTCGTTAAAAAGAACGCAGCAGTGGTCCATCACCAACAATCCCTTCTCCGCACAGCAAGCTACTCAAAGCTAGTGTAAGTAAATTGGAAGGCACGGATTTTTTTTTTTGCTTGAAAAGCTGAGTCTTGCCCACAACCACTGGTTATGGTGGCTGTGCTCACCACATAAAGCATGGCCGAGGTTGTCGAGGTCTGTTTCCCTGGACTGGGCTTCTTGAGACCTCAAGAAAACCTGGAAAAAGGGCAGATGTCTATTTGCTGCCGGCAAAAAGACCAACTGCCAAAAATATCCAAAAATTGGAAAGGAACAAGTGGCCTGGGAGTCATGAAGGACATCGTGTAAACAGGGGTTGTTTACAATTTGTGAACCTGTTGATATCTGTTGATCAAATGTGACTTTCCTGCCACACTGTCCAAGCTTCCATCAAATTCAGGTCGGAACGACGTTCACCTTATCCCAATCTCAGGCTTTGCCAGACTTCATCAAACAGAGTGCAAACATGGTTCGACCAATGTTCGACCAATGTGCAAAGTGCATGGGCTCAACTTCTAAATGGAAACAATTTGAAACCATCATCCCTCAGGCCCCTTGGGCGCCAGGACCGGCTTTCCTGACAGATAGGCTGTCAGGTTGTCTGCGACAATGTCCATGAGCCTCTGCCTGATGCCGTTTAGGCAGTTGAGGCCGTTGAGCTACAGGATCAACAGGCTATTATAGGCTATTATGCTATCACAGAGCTTTTGTCACTTTTGTGTACCTTTGTATATGTATGTCCATTTTTGTCCTTATCTTGCTGAGATCTCCATCTAGTTCAAGTCTCTGTCCATCAAAACAGTGGTAGGCCTCGTCTCCAAGCGCTTCCAGCCAATGTGCGGGGTCAGAATGACCTTTGCACAGAGCTGGAGCTCCCACGGATGAGTTTCGATTTATGGCAACTGAGTTTAACTGCTTGTGTCTTCATCTTGGTTCTGGACATTCTCCAAGCTATACAAAGGATTGTCCGCTGCTGGTGGTTCTGTCTCTTGCACATCCAAACCAGCACCTGAAGATGTTGGAGGCGGATGGAAGAACATGACACTGTACCCTCCAAAAACAACCCATAGTCAGTCTGACCAGGAGGCCAAGTCATCTCTTGCCAGTACAGACATAGAACCCAGATTTCTCAATTTCGAGCGAAACTTCTGTGTTGCAGCACCTACAGCATCTTCCTCCAACAAGATATGTGCAGGGGTTGCGGATCTGAATTCTGATTTCGACATATTTCGACTAGTTACATGGAAAAATCAAGAATCAATGCCCCAGAATAAATGCTGCGTTTCTTGGCTGCAAAAGCACCACTACCCAGGCACCTGCGATCGTCTTGTTCTGCAGGGCTTCAATGAGCTCAGGCTCCTGTGACGAAAGATGAAAGACAGGCAGTTTGTTGTGCGCCATCCCTCCACAGGTCCTTAATCAAGGAGCCACGGCCTGTGAAAGTCAGAGAAATGGCAGTGTCTCCACATCATTGGCGCAGCTGTCTGCAGAACTGCAGAACCCATAGAATGCTGGGTTCCCAATCAGAAGCCATACAGTACATAATCGGATAGAATCTTAAAATTTCTGCTCAAGCCCGCATTCTAGTGTTGGAGAAAACAGGGAGATTTGAGATTGGCATAGAATCACAAGAATGCCGTCTCTCTCTCTCTCTCTCTGAATTTGTACTAATACAGTATATGTATGTATATGTATAAAATAATGTATCTGTACTTACGAGGACTTCATTTGTTGCATGATGGTGTGGAAGCAAAACATCGACCTGTTGACTCAATCAAACCTTGCTCCCAACTGAAACCCCGGAGCCTGTGTTGATGAGGTAAGCAGTTGGCTTCATCAGCTTCAGTGTGTCCTCCAAGACTCAGCTGAAGAGGATGGTCCGTTTTGGTCCCCAAGTACCAACATTGACTGCCTCAAGAGACTGATTTGACCAATGCTCCTTGTTGATCAAGTGCTTGGTGTCCGCATTCAAAGGGCAGTGCAAGCTGACGAAGTCACCTGGTGCACTACAGCTGCCATGTAGATAGTCCAAGTATGTCCAAGTTACATCTATGTCAGATTTGTTCAAGTCGTAGAGTTCCTGGGTGCAGCCAATCGACTTGTCCGCAGCAGCTCCTTCGTGTATCAAATGCACCAAATCTCGCAGCTGATCTGGAGGGTTCGGGGGGGTTTTGGCTCCCCCAGACCATGCTGGCAGTGGTGCAAGTGGCATTCCCACCAATTGTGCATGTCGTAACAAGATACTTGTCTCCCAAACCTTGCATTTCACAAATCTGGAAATGTGGTCATCCGAAATATCAGATCCTTTCTCTCCGTTGGGTCCCCTGCTCCTCCAGAGGTAGCGCATTGGGCTTTGGGCTTCGACTTGTAATGACAACCTGGCCCGGAATGGAGACATATCCTTTAGCTCCAAGGCTTCTGCATGGTCAAAGATGGCTACCTAAGTACATAAGCATACAGTATAATTAGAAGCTATCATAAGCCAATAAGAAAAACAACTGCGATTTTTGCGAGAAACTTTCTGCCGCCATTTCAACAAACCCCACCTTCATGCCAATCGCCTCTGCAAGAGCTGCCACCTCTGGGGATATCAGAGGCCGGTCATGGCCGGTCGCCAACAACTTCTCTTTTCTGATCGGCCTTGCTGCCGATGCCACCACTGCCACCAATCAGTCCCAGAACCTTTCCCTGAAGTTCGAAATGGGGAACCTCCAGGACAGCGCACGGTGAATCAAAAGAACATTCTGGTCTTGGCAAATGAACAAACAGTTCACAGTGTGTTGATGCCTGGAGCGATTTGGTGAAGTTGTCCCGATCGCCTTTCCTTGGTACTCTAACCACTGATGTGAGCTTCTTCACATGAACATCATGAACAGAAGCGCATGTCAAATCGTACTCACTGCTGCAAAAATGTGACTCTGCTCCAGGTATCCAATCTCTTTGTTGCAAGTGCTACCAGCTGAAACCACTTAGATAATGAATGCACACTACTGCACATCCAAGCATCTGAAGCATACCTGGCAGGTCATCCAGCTGAGGAAGCTGCGATCTAATTTGGGTGTGTTTGGTTTGATATGTTCTGCAATGTTTTTTGTAGTTCCTCCAAACGGGAGGGCTGTTGGAAGAGCCTTTACAGAGAAAAAAAACGCGAATTGGTGACTAGAATTGATCAGTACCAGAGATAAGTTTACAATATCATGAGTATCACCATCATTATAATGTATATATATATATTAATATACAATATATATATATTAATATATAATATATAATATATAATATATAATATATAATATATAATACATAATATATAATACATAATATATAATGTATAATATACAATATATAATACATAATACATAATGTATAATAATACGTAATACATAATGTATAACATAGTATATAATATATAATACATAATACAATATATATAATGTATAATGTATAATATATAATAAATAATGCATAATGTATAATATATTATATCATATTATGTTACTGTATAATATGTTATATTATGTTATATTATATTATATTATATTGTATTGTATTTATTATTATATGTACTGTATGTTGATTCTTATTACAGCATATTACAGCAATATATACTAAGCATCGATTATACCAGATTATACTAGTATATTCACCAGATATCATCAGATCAAAGGCGACGGCACTCCTCAAGTCCTCCAGGAGCCACCTCTGACAATTGCTGAACACCCTCGAAGCAACGCATCTGTTGTCTATGTGCCTAAGAAACATCAAGAAACTATGTTGCTATGTTGCTTCTTGTATTCATGCCTCTATTCTGGAAACAAGTGTGGTGAGCCGATCAATCCATATCAACCCTCAAACAAAATATGATCACATCCCATTGCGATTCGATTTCCGCTCACTCCCCATCAGACTTTTGCGGAGCCAAGATGCGCATCTGGGGGACCAAGGAGCAAGAGAAATTCCTTGGCGTCCACGATGACAGATTGTTTAATAAACTCCTTTCTTTGGATGGCACGCATTTACATGTGTCAAACTTCCCGCATCCCGTGCTTCAAGCGCAGAGCTTCGGTGCGGATTTCAAGATGCGCGTGGCATCCATCATAAATGTTGCAGATTAATGCAGTGTATGTTGCATGTAGTGCACAATATGACAAATGAGAGTTGGAACCAGATTCCAGGTTCACAAAGCAACCTCTTTCAGCCTAGTTGCAGAATCAGCGTAAGAACCAGGTGTGCAACGGCATCGCTGCTGTACCTCAGTATGACCAAAGGGCTTGACTCAGTGTCTGTGTGTGTAGGAGCTTGTTGATCTGCACCCAACAACTGATTGAGATCCCTGCGCAGGGCAGTTGCAAACCATGACACCCTTCTCCTCATACAAGCTTTGGCCAATTTTTGCCAGGGAGTCAGACTTGAAAATTTTGAAAGTGATGCGAGCTTGCTTGCTTAGACTGGGCTTTCTTCGTGCAGTGGCAAATCAAAACCAAGAAAATCTCCAGAACGCACGAACATGGATTTCTACTGCTGCTCGAAAAGAGCCTTCAGAGACTTCAGTAAGGTTCCAAAGTATCTGCCATCTGGAATATTAAGCCCTCAAATGAGCAGCTTTCAACTTTCAAAACCCTCTGTCGTCCTTTATACCGCTTTATACATATAATATCATATAATTATAATATATAGGATTTCTTATAATAGATTGTGATGATTGTGATTGCGATCAATCCTTATATGTGGGATAATATAATCCCCTACAATAATCAACCAACAGGAGTTTGAACACTGCCTGAATGAGTACTTACAAAATACCCACATGACTCAACGAGACAGGCCCATTCAATGCACAAATGTCATGTGCCAATACTATACGTGCATGACTTCAGGAGATACACGCACACACACACTAGACAAGAATGGATCATTATATGATCCGGCAGGAACTGAATCCTGAAACATGCAAACCAGCCTAGGTTATTTGATGAATAAAAGAGCCACATGAGGTACTTCTCGAAAACGATGTAGGGCATCCGAAATTGTCAAACGTAGTCATAACCAGATTTCATAGAGTTTTTTGACCAGCATGTTGAAATCCAAAACGATGTTTCGGCGATTGTTTCCCAAAATAACCCATAGTTCGTCGGCGACAGGATCTCGGCGAAAATAAGTCAAAAAAAACATAATACTGTCGGCGATATGGTTTCGGCGAAAATCTGAGAAAGGTTCTGATGCATGTAAATTTCAAAATTGATTCCAGATTGCGACAACAGTGCAGCAAATTGTATAACATTGTGGTTGGGGTTCTAAGCTTGGCCCCTTGCTATTTCGGAAAATTCGAGCTGCAGGTACGCATGGCTGATCAGGCCATGTATCACCAGGGAAGCCAGAGTGTCTTCGTTGGTGGTAGACTCTGGACCCTGCTACCACCCCCTGCAAATTTGTGAAAACCAATCAGAAGTTTTACATCTGTTCAGATGGTACACACACACACCTCGCATGTAGCGAGGTTGGTTTTTTGGAAGAACTTCGCTGGCGGAATCGGCAAGACACCAGTGAAAATGAACCTGTAAGATCCTAATGCACAAACGGGCGATCACTTCAATCAGAAGAGGAATTCGGAGCTTGTAGAAGGACTTCCATAGCATCGTGGAAGCTCATGCGTTCAACCATCGCCCAAGTCTGATCGAATGCCCCAGATGCCGTAGCAGCCTTCAAGGTATCAGATAGATCTTTGGCTAATTCATGGATCCGGGTGGTCAGGCTTGGTTCATCGCCAGGAGATGTCGTCTCAATGGGCACATTGTGAAAAGGATGGTGTCCGTGTACAAGGGGAATCTCAAAATGATGTCGCCAATAGTCCGCTGTGCGTAGGGACCATTCCCAGTTGCCCGAGAGACCATAAAAATAGTGTTCAGGGTCACGACATCGGGAATGCCCTAACAAGGGAATTTCTTCAATGAATAGCTCCCTGGTGTTGTTGGAGTGGGTAATGACCTTGAATTGGATCTGGTGAACCACGCGAGAAGAGAATTGAGCACGATGGAGGTAATTGTGTGTAGAACTTGACTCCGTCGGAAAAGGAACGCCAGGAGGTGCTGGTCCTGAATATGTATCAGAATGGGCCATAGTACCCGTAGCAGGTGCCGTACTGTCAGTTACCAAAGGTGCCGACGTAGGGTTGGTCGTAGTGTCAGGAGCTCCTGAGTGACATAGTGCAGAAGTCTGGACGTCTGGTACGTGAACTGGGTTGGTAGGAGCGAGTCCACGAGTAGGATTCGAAGGCCAAGACAAGCCCGCCACGGTCGCGTCTCGTTTGTGTTCCATGGGTGAAACTGTCACAAATGCGAGAAATGCGAGAAATAGTGCAACAACGGCTGAGGTATCAAGAAAAGCAGAAAAAAGCCAATACCGAGAATGATAATATTCACAAAATTGATAAAAGTGAAGTCCAGACCTCAATCAAGTGGTTCAATTGCGATGGATAAGCCACAGCGCAAAGTCAAATAAAATAGAAATCAAAGAATCCTTGGTGTTGGTGGGGAGTCAAGGGAGAATTGAAACCCTGTAGCATGGTTTTTTCGGCCGGCTAGCGTATCAGGGCAGGATCACACCGGAGCTAATTTTGTAGCATTGCAGACGTAGTACGAAAGGCTGTCTGGTACCCGGAATGAGGAAAGAAGATTCGCGGGAGTTGTACTGCCGAAGTCGCCATTCAGGTCGGTATGCCTCCAAAAGCTGCAAGACCGTCATATCATTGGAAACTTGGAATGTATCACCGTCCAGGTCACAAAAGCGAAACTCCAGATTCGAGGGATCAAGTTGGATGTCCCATTGGGACCTCAATCTTTTGGAGATACAGAAGCGTAGTTCAGCAATTGGGATGAGGCCAGCTTCAACTGGTTCCATCTGACGTGACCAGGTAAACAAAGCTTCAAGTTCGTAGCCACTGACATGTCTAAAATTGGAGCTCGCCAGAGCCATGTAGTGTTCACGGTCAGGTTCGCTTCGGTGAGTCAATGCCCGTAGGGGAGAGAAGTCAACCAAAATAAGGACAGGTCTGTTTGGGGGAGGGTTCGCATCACCAGGAAGGCCTCGATGTCCAGCGATCCATCCAACGGTTCGTGTACCCAGCGGTGTCTCAATCGTTGATGTAGCGCGATATGGATTGGGTCGAGAAGAACGAGGCATGGCAACTAATGTCGGGTGTCGAAGATGAAGCGGAAAGCCCAAGCTGCAGAATAGGTGAATAATGACCAAAGAATAAAGCTCAAAGTGTTGAAAATTGAAGAGAAACAGGTTACCTAGACAGTGGTCACAAAAAGACGGTAAAGCCCTGTTCTTTTCCGGTGCTGCCAAATAATGTGGTGTATTACACACTGGAGTCTGACATATCCATCGGGTCCGTATCGTTCGCATCCAGTGGACCTTGTACTTGTTGAGGAGGGACAGTCGGCCGAGTGAGATGTAAAGTACGTTGTAATGTTGCCGGTGGTGACGAAGGTGGTGTAGACCGCCATGGTGGCCAGTATAAGGAGGTGGTAGTTCCTTGAGAGTGATGTTGCGCAGAGCGTCCCCAGCATGACTGCAAAATATAGAGTTGGTCTGGTATTGCTTCATACGGTTGGGAAACATAGACATTGGAGTGTTCAGGGTGTGGTAGAACAGGAACGGCAGTAGTCGTAGAGGAGGAGGATGATGATTGAATTGGTACGTCATAGTGTCGGCGCCAATGATTAGCCGTGGTACGTAGAGTCGCCTGATCAGTAGTGAGGTGCATGTTCTTCAGAAAGGTTTCCACAGGTTTCCACGTTTCAATACCATCCATGGTCCTTTCCACGACCCAAAGTTCATCCGGACGGTTAGACAACGGGTAGTTCAGCTTCTTGATGAATATGGAATGAACAGTTGTCGAGGTCGGGATGGTTCGTGCTTCACGAGGGATATACGATGACGAAGTAGGATCATCCGGAGGTAGATGTGGAACAGGGCCATGTAGGGATGTAGGTGGGGAACGGTGTGAAGCCGATCGAGCAGTATCATCCGTGTTGGAGGTCATCGTGTACAACAACAATAAAATGGTTTCGGAATACGCTGGACTGAAGCCAAAGAGCCATGAGAAAGGTAATGATGACGGGATGAATAACGGACATCAATAAAAGGAAAAGAAAGGAAAGAAGTAAAGGAGACCAAGGAAACCGAAACCCAGGATGGCGGACCTCATAACGAATGTTTTCTTTTTTCCTCATAGGTGTGAGCATCGCCAAGATCTATTTGGAAAACGAATTACTCGGCCGTCTTAGTATATCTGGTGGCCGTGATGAATGGATGCCCGCGGGGAATCACTTGAACATGTACAGCGAAGCCTGTGTCTTGTGCATCTGGATGGGGTGTCAGCAACAAAGGAGAACACTCACGAGTCGTGAAGGCATCGAGATGTTGGTGAGTCTTCCATGACGGATAAAACCAGTTCAAAACGTCCAGAAGAGAATGAGGAAGGTCATCAAGCATCTGAGCTCCTTGATCAGTGTCGATCATCATGTAGAAGTCGGAAGCTGGTAGGTGTATCGACCAGCGTTGTAGCAGCGTATCGGTGACTACTTTTTTGAGGTCGGAGACAAAGTGACTGCGAGCATAGTCCGGGTAGATCACCTTGAACGTCTGGAACAGGCTATCATAGGTGGCCGTAGGAAGGTTGCCCGCTACCTTGGGGGTCAAGATGTTGTAGTAAGGGTTGCGGACGGCCAGTTGCTGCATCGGCTTCAGGTCCAATTGGAAAATAACGGGTCGGTGGGGTGTCGAAGGCGGAGTCCGATTGGGTGGATGCTGAAGTGACGAGGAGCCCATAGCGGAGGACGATGCCCGTGTCGGGGAGCGTGAGCGTCGTGTAGGTGAGATCCTCTCGTGGGACATAGCTCGCAGTTGGCAATATCGGTCCAGGTGGATGCGGAGAGACATAATAAATGGCTGGCGGGTTGTGTGATACGACGTGTCAGAATTCAATGGGCCAACAGCGCCCATGGTTCTGAAGATAAACAAGAAGAAAAATTCCCAAAAAGGAAAGTCAACTGGTCGGTGAATCTGTAATACTGTGCCGCAAACTACCTTTTTCTTTTGGTTCGCATATGTCATTGGTCAGCCAAGTTGGTCTTTGATCTTATTCCACATAGAGCGAACATCTTCTTCAGACTTGCCCATCTTGGTCGAGATCACCTTCCATGAAAATCGAGATTTCTCGTCAGCCTTCAGAGTGCGTAGTTTCTGTTTGTCTTCAGAGGTCCAGAGTGACAGTGGGCTCGAGGAGCGGGATCGGGATTGGTCACGTCGGCGACGACGCTTGGCAGGAGCCTTTGGAGCGGATTTGGCTTTCTGTTTGCGACT